GTTGAGAAAATCTCTTTTGGGCACCCTGAGTTATGGGCTGTGATTGATGAGAAGGGTCCCACAGAGGGTAATTAATCAAAGGGGAATATCCAGAATTCCCAATGAAAGACAACTCGGTAGCCTCAGTTGCCAAGATGGTAGGAAAAGGTTTATTTTTTGCTTATGTACTGCTCCCTGCCAGGTTGATGGGGGAGAGTGCAAATATAATATAACATGCTTCTGGGTTGCAACAAAGCAAAACAAACCCCTGGGTGGATGAAGAGGTGTGTGCATGAGCCTGTTTTCCAAAACCCAAATCCAGGAGTATGGTCAGAATAAGCCAGTGGTCCAAGTCAGGACACTCAATACATGCTGGTACATTTGCTTCTTGGGAGCAACTGTGGCTTACAATGTGCACCCATACACATGCGTGTGTGCACCCCCCTACACAATACAATCCCCCCTCCCCGAGTTTTGTGCTCAGGGAAGGAGGTTTTATGCTTCGAGGTTGTAGTCTGGTGTAAGTATGTACTGCTTACGCTTACAGAGTATGAGTGTGATAGGGTGGCGAGAAATGCAGTCACTCAACCATCTCAGACACCTCTTGAGGTCTGACGTTGTCAGGGGCTTCCCTCCTTCTCGACACCCAAGGCTAGCACTCTGCACTGTGTCATGCCCCACACTGGACCCTTTGTTCTCACTGCCCCACTTCATTGCTTGTCGTCAGAGCACAAGGTAGAAACACAAGACGGTGTGTCCTGAACGAATGTAAATATTGGATTTTCCACTGTGGTTACAGGCAGCCTGCAGTGAATTTACCTCTCCTTGCATAGGGTTCACAGAGGCTTCTTTCATCTCCTCTAAGTTCCAGGCTTCTCAAAATCAGGACATGGTAGGAACCAGGAGCCAAGCTGTTTGTGCTCTGGGGGGATGTTTAGGAGAGACGAATTAGGAACATGAGAACACAAAAAGCTGACACCCTTGGTTGATCTGGCCCAGCACTGAGACTCTCCAGGGCGTCAGACAGGAGATTTTCCTAGCCCCACTTGGAAATGTGCAGGATCAAACCCAGAACCTTCTATATTGAGATGTACAAGAATTGCATCTCCATTTGCAACTTGCCCAAAATGCCCCATTTGCAAGAGAGAGCTTCTCTTTTTGATCTGTGTTAGTTGTCACATGTTCATGAACGCTTTCCATGCCATTTCTGCATTACTCTGTTCATTTTTAACATAATATGCACAAAATCATGTACATGTATTTTAATATATTTTCTGTCAAAATACTTCCATTTTACCCTTTGTGTGCATTTTAATGCATAGTTTTCAGAAGAGACTTTTTAGTTGAGTAGTACATTGTTCCAAAATGCATTATGCCCAGTAAGTGAAACCTGACAGAAGGCAGAGCCACTTTAAACCATGTGAACCCCGCCTGTACTCTTGCTTGTGAGCCAAAAATGCCTGCTAGAGCATGGGGCCCACAGGCTGGATCCAGCGCACCATGCGCATTTATCTGGCCTTCCTCAGAGGTTTTGGACTCGCTGCACATGCACCCGGGCCCGCCGCCACCCGCCTCGCCCCATGCACAGGGAGGTGGCGGCGTGCTCGTGCGGAGATCGTTTTGGACTCACTCGGAGAAAATGATCTCTAAATGAGCAAGCCGCTGCCGCGCCTGTCCACCCCTGCCCCTGCCTTGCCTCAGCACCCGCGCACCTATGCACACACCGCCCCTGCCCCCCTGTTGAAAAAGTTTGAGGACCCCTGTGCTAGAGAACCCATGAAGCTCTGTCTGACCACATCCTGTGGGAAATCCTTCCATGGACAAAGCTGCTTTGTGGTTCCCCTTCTCTGCCACTGCTTAGGGTATCTCTCTGTGTGGGGTGAGGGAAACTGAATGATTTGCATGGAAACCCCATCTCCCGTCAGCTCCCCGACTTTCCCACTGCCTGAGCGGCATCATGTGTCGCCCACACGGCGTTCTCCGTTGGTGCGTCAGTGGGCCATGAGTGTGCTTGTAGTTAAACAGTGTCTTACGGGAAGGACCGTGTGCCCAGAGCTGACCCAATGTGGCTAAACATGAAGGCTGGAAGTAGGAAGGACAGCTTGCACCTTTCAGAATTCTCTGGGACTTAGTTGTTCACCATGAGAAGCTGTCTAGCATCGGACCAGACCTTGTCCATCTAGGCCAGTGTGGCTCCTCAGACCGGCAGAAGCCACACCCTTGAACTTGCTGTCCTGTCAGGGACACACCATTTTGAAGGGCTCCCCTTCACTGCGTCACCATAAGCTGGAAATGACTTGGCAGCACATACCAACAGCAAAGTATATTTTGCCTTTTTCTTCATCAATTGCTTTTATTTATACCCTACTTGTGTACCAAGGTCCAGCACCCAGCTTACCAAAAAAAATTTAAACACTTTAAAACAATAAAACACATTCAAATATAGTAAAAGCATAACCATTTAATGTCATTAGCTGCTTAGAGAGCTGTTGGGTATTCAACGGCTTGTAAATTTGAAAAATTAATAAAATAAACAACTTGTACTTGCTGTCCGAGTATAATGGAAAGGGAGCCTTTTGGAGCAAGCTCCTCAGCGAGTTACCATGTTGCTTGAACCCAACTGAGAGAACAAGCCATGGTTAACAACATGCAGTTCACAACAGTTCATAACAATCATGGATTCTCTTCAGGCATTGTTCATAGTTACTTGCCTTCTCTGGTTAGTGCAGCTGGATTCAACAAACATGATATGCCATGGTTCAGCAGCAGCCCACACTTAACCCATACTGTGGGATCTCAGCTGTCTCACCCCGTCAGTGACTGTCCCAAAGCCACACAGTGAGCTTCACAGCCAAGTAGGAACTAGAACCAGGTCCTCTGAGACCCAGTCCAACACTCTAACCACTAGGCCACACTGGCTGTTCCTTTTAGCTGGAAATGTTGGAGCAGACAAAACACACCCCTTTCTCCTGAGCTAGTCATGCCTCCTTCACACGAAGCAAATGTGGAGGGTGGCACCCATGGCTGGGGACAGAGGGATGCGTTCTTTTGTGAGAATCGACATTTCCAGATGAGGCTGAGTCTAAGGGCTGCCCTATTTCTATGACCTCATTCACAGGCTGGCAAAAGAAAGTAGGCATTCAAAGAACTCGGAGGGCGGGGTGGGGGTGACAACTGACAAAAGCTGCTTTCTTCCCTCTCCCCCAAAACGCCCCATGCCACATGGTCATCATAGGAACCTTTCTGGGCAGTGTTGTGGGAGAAGACAGTGGTGGTTGGGTTGCTGATTTTCAGTTCTGCCACCCCAAGTGAATTGCTGAGAAGAGGGAATGCATCACCCAAAGAGAGGATAAAAGTGACATCAGTTTACATGAAATGTGTGTCTGCTAGTTTATAGAAAGAGGTGCAGAGCTTGAAATAATTCTTAAAACTGAAGGAGAAAGGCAGTCCATCTCACAACTGTGGAAGTGTGTGAGCAGGGCTCACCTTGGACCAACAGGTGTGTGCAGTTCTGAGCATTCTTTTCTGCTTGTGTTCAACAGAAGTCCGTAATAGTTCCATTCTAGATGGTGAAGTGTAGTAGATTCCCCCCAACCTTAATTCTGGAAGTGAATTGCACATTTGGGGGGGAGGGCTTGGCATTTGCACAAATAGTACTTCGTGCAAATTGGGTAGGTTTTTATGTGGGAGGGAGATCTTGAAAGTTTTACAAATGGGGGCGTTTTTTAAAAGAAGTCCTGAACTTTCAACAGTGTACAAGAGCATAGAGTCAGCTGTCTGGAATGTGCAGTCCTGGTTTGTCAACTTTTCATGTGTGTTTCAGCTGGACCTCTAGAGTAGGTAACATGAAGGAAAATTGATAAATCAAGAATATGTGCAAGCTTATTTGCTCACAGTTGCAAAGGGCCAGGGGAAAATGTCAGTAAGACAAGGGAGGAACTCAGTCTGGGGCAGGTACTCTAAGAATACAGCTATCTATATTTGAGAAGTTAACCATGGAGAAAAAACTGTGCTAAAATTTATTGTCAGGAAAATATTGTTGTTAGATCATGACTTAAAAAGGGGGACTTGAAATAACCCATTGAGAGAGAATGACAACATTAAGAATCAGTGGAGAAGAATGGAAAGAAGGAATAACCAGGACAACAATCCTTGTCTTCTGGGCCAGTTTGGAAGCCATCCCTGCTTCCACATTCGGACATGGCAACTCGCGTGGCATGAAGATAACTAGGCAAAGCGTGCACTGCGCAACTGCCATGTGTGGGGCTGGGGAAGAGGAGCCTCTGTGTTGTCATCTTCCTGGTGGTTATGAGAACCTGGCAATTTGGTGGTCTTGTCTCTTTCAAGCCCTTCTGATGAGCAAGGAGAGTGAAAGCGTTTTTTTATGGCATTCCATTGTCTAGGCTTTCCAGTATTATGTTTTCAGTGTGAGGATTGCTTTAACTTGCAACTGCTTATAAATTGTGTACAATAATCAATAAGGCTTCTGGCTGCAAAGAAGACATTACCACACGCTTAATTTGAACAGGAGCTAACCCACTTAATGCACCATTACTGTAAGTGGAATTCTTTGCGTGTGTCTTAATCTTTGCACACCATGGAGCCTTAGACAAGGCTGTTTGCTGAAGCTTTCCCCCTGAAGGTTAGCAGAAAAGGAAACCCTGCTGAAATTTCCACTCAGTGATTCAGGAGTGCCATGGATGAATCATTTCAAAGCCTAGTGAAGCCAAAGCTGAGGACCCAAGCAAACCACCCCCATCGTCCCCACCCCCCGTTGTCGTCTGGCCCCATAGAGGGTTTGGCTTGCTGGCTGGGAATTCTGAGAGATGTGGTCTAATATATCTGGAGCGCAGCAGGTGGGAGAAGGTTGTTCCACTGCAGCCCATCACCTTGACATTGGGTGGGTTGGTGTTAGTTCATTCCAGAAAGATCCATTGCATCAGAGCCTTTGAGGATGAAGGGGAGAGAGCCAAGCACCATCACAACAAGCTTCTAAAATAAGTTTGTGCCTTTCCCCCTAGGTTTGACTACCAAGAGCTTTTGCACAATTCTACCTTCTGCATCATTCCACGAGGGAGACGCTTGGGATCCTTTCGGTTCTTAGAGGCATTGCAGGTACGGTTGGAAGTGTCTTTGTCATATCACCCCAGTCAGAAAACAATTGGGTAGCAATTTGTGCTCCTCATTCTGGGAAAGTAGAGGTTGGTAGAGAACTCAGGGTTCCCATATTTTGCGGGAAAGTTACTAATTTGTACCAAAAGTACATCCCAAGGTTGCCTGCACATTGCAAACATCGACTGGTGTAACGGTGATTTCCTTTCTGCAGCCCCTTCTGGGAGTGACTTGGGAGGGCACATTTCTCATTTGAAATGCTCTTGGGCAGGAGTGTGTGACTGCCAGGGTCCCAGAGACCAATTCCACGTCCCACGCAGCCTATAAACCCACTGGAGAATGCATCTGGAATTTGCTGCCAAATTTGAGTGGCCTGACAGTGGGGCAAAAAGTCAAAATGAGATCTGTGAGGAGGACACTCCTTGTCTGAAAGCTAAATTGGCCCTTTAGGCAGCTGCTACACTAACACCCTTTGGCAGCAAGCCAGTGCTTTCTTTGCCGCCCTGTTCTGGCAAGCTCAGTGCTGCTGCCAGGGGACGTGGGGAGCTCCTGAAAGGGCCCATGGCAGGTGGATTTCACATGCATTGTGGTCTAGGGGAAATAAATAAATGGGGAAGATACTTATAGTGGCAGAGATGGGAGTAGCAGAAGCAATCTGCTTCCCCCTCTTAACTGCCAAAACCAGAGCAAGGAATTCCATTGTAGGCTTACTGTGAATGGGACCTCAGCAGATCAGAAGCAGGGTAGTGCCCCCGCCCAGTTGCTTCTTCCATTTTTCAGGGAGCTGAAACACCCTTCCTTCCTTCCTTCCTTCCTTCCTTCCATCCATCCATCCATCCATCCATCCATCCATCTCCCATTCAACTAAAACTGTGGTTTCAGCCTAGCGCATCTCTTAGCCACCTTATGATTTTGCTCATCGTGAGACAGGCATTCCCCAACCTCTTGATGTTTTGGATGGCATCATTCCGAGTGTATCAAAAGCCTTGGAAAGGTTAACCTAAATGTAAGCATTTGAGCTGAAACTTCAGCTGCGAAGGATGAGGGAAGCGATCAGTGCTCTCAGGCTTATCCTTGAAGATGGGCCAAGGACACCAAGCTGAGACTGCCCTTGGACAGTGATGGTGTGAATTGCTAACAGCTGGGGAAGTAGAGGCCTCTGGGATTGGTGGGCTGGCATCACTCCATTGCCAGGAAGGGCTGGGGGAACCCTGCAAAGAGAAAGTCATTTGTCTCCTGCTGGGTCTTCGCCTGGTGAGAGGTTTCACTCCCTGACCAAACCTTGAAGTCTTCATAATGGGAAGACCTGCATTAGGCAGAGAGTAGTTTAGGCTCAGCTTTATTACCGTATTTTTCCATGTATAAGACACTACTTTTTCTTTAAAATATTTACATTAAAATGGAGGTGTGTCTTATACACGGGGGGGGGGGGGAAAAAAGGAGAATCGTGGGCTGGGGGGGTGGCAGGTGGCATGCCTTATGAAACTGCCTTTATAAATAAAGCAATTAAGAGCATAATTCTATGTCTGTTTAGACAGAAAAAAGTCCTGTGACTAGTTTAGGATTTTATTTCATCCAAACATGCATAGAATTCTGCTCTTAGTTACTTAATTTATATATTTTCATTTTATTGAATATAAGCCACTCTTTATCAAGTATAAGCCACTTGGAGAGCTGCTAAGTGGCAAAATCAGGATGCAAATGCCAACACCATCATCTCCTACTGAGATAATGTCCATGGAGCACTTTGAGCATTGATGATTCCATAGGTTACCCTTGAAAAGTAACTCACAAAGGTTATGAACAGCAGGATTTTAAAGACTGCAATCCTCGTAATGTTGAAGAATGGCATTCAGGGCAGGACAGGAAAGCGTTAACCATTTGAGGCACACAGCTGGAAACCACTTTAGTAGACTGGGCAAAGTTGCCAAGGAACTCTTCTGTTGGGGAGATGGGTGGTTGCTCTGAATAGCTGCTGCCTTCCCAGCGGCAGGGGATGCTCCATCTCCCCCCACCTGATACGATCTGGGTGTCTTCCTCATGGCTGGCCCTGCCACTGGCAGGGCAGAGTGAGGCCCTTGCCTCACGCAGCAAATGCTGGGGTGAGGCTGCAAAAGTTGGAGGAGGGAGCTGTCTGTGCCACAGAACCTGCCCCGTGCCCCCTGAGCTAGCCTGCTGCCTTCCAGGGGGTTGCCGATGCAGTCCTGCGGCCCATGTCGATGAAAGATGCAGCTGCCAGCACAGCTGGCTTTTCTGCCTGGAATGGGACAAGCCGCCATCTTGCTCTGCGCCTCAGCAGAAAACCCCTTGCCAGTGAAGAGAAATGGCAGTGCATTTGGACTCTCAGTTGGAGTGTTAAATTGGCAACTCCGCCATGTACAGATATTACAAACGTAATATCTTGGAACTTTGAAATCAAATTAGGGCAAGTCTGTCTAAGGAAGTGTGGTGAGGCAAACTTCCCAGAAATGGTGTTGCGTACCCTGAAGCTGCCCCAAACAGTGCAGGTCTCACCTCTTGCGTTCGCTTAACTCTTTGGTTCTCCTGGATCCAGGCTGCCTGCATCCCTGTGCTGCTCAGCAATGGCTGGGAACTGCCGTTCTCGGAGGTGATTGACTGGAGTAAATCGGCCATCGTCGGGGATGAGAGGCTACTGCTACAGGTAACAATGCCTGCACTGTGTTAACAAGGGTGGGCTGGCGTCCAGGCAGGCTGGTACAAGATGGCGCCGCAAAAAGACTAGACCTCTGTGCTTTTCACATAGAATACTGTGTGGCTACTGTATAGCAGGCCTAGCCATGAGGTCATCGCAGTGCTGGGATGAACAGATTCTTCATGGCTTATTTGTGGGGACAAGATTGGAAACATGACATGTACGAGGCCATTGTGTTTTTCCCTGATCGTTATATATATCTTACATTTCTATGCCACGCAATAGCTGAAGCTTTCTGGGCAGTTCACAAAACAGGCTCAAAACTCTTAAATACCATTAAACAGAACATTAAAACATGCTACAGAATAAAAACAAAGTTAAAGCAGTTGGAGGGAACAATGGCCTGCAAGGATCTAAAGAGAACTAACTACATTTTAAAAGAGAAGGGCTGAAAAGTGTGGGGAATAATGGGTCTTCACCTGGCATGGAGAATATCACAATGTAGGTGCCAAGTGAGTTTTTCTGGGGAGGGTATCCCACAGCTGGGAAGCCACCACTGAAAAGTCCCTCGGCTTAGTAGCCAACTGCCTCCTGAAGGTTGTGACATTCTTTTCACTTGTTGCTTATTTGTTTTAGTAACTAAAATTTTGATTGACGGGAAGATGCATATCTAGTAATGAATGCAATTGTGGCAACTGGCATAATTGTTATTATGGAATTGCCCTGGGGTTGGTTTCTTTTGCTGTGGCAGCAGCAGATGGCCTTTTCACACCCGTGGCATATCGATACTGCAAATTGGTAAATAAAATTCCTATAGATAAGTGGGAGGCCATACCCTCCACCTCCCAGGAAGAATATCTTGGAAAGAGGGAAACCAGCCTGGCCCTATCCAGCTGCAGGATGCTTGCTCTGTTCTTCCCTGCCAGAAAGAGCACCTCGGGCACAATCCAGCTGAGCTGCTCTGAGACTGGCAGTCATCCAGTGCAAAGCAAGAGGAGCAGTAGAGGCTGCTCTGGCTTCTGTGCTCCTCCCGTGCCGTGTTTTCACTGTGCAGCTGTTTTTGGCTGCCTAGTGGAGTTCTTCAGAGTGTGAGAAAAGGAGGCTGCAGGGAACACAAGATGCGTTGCAGCCTGGCCTCAGCAGTCTTCTCCCTTCCCTTCCCTTCCCTTCACCATTCCTTCTCCGCAAGGCTGATCTTCCAACCTGGGAGAGGCAGCCAGTGCAGTTCCTTCTGGACCAGCTGCAAGGGGGGCTGGCTCACAAATTCTGAGTTCAAAGATTGGCTACTAGAGGCCATAGAATCTTGCCCCTAGAAGAGGCTGTTGCAGTACCTGAGTTTGCCATTCCCCCCCCCCCATCTCCTTCCCTCCAATCCGTTTCCTTTTGAGTTAATGACTTGAAATTGTAAACCTGAGGATGTGTTATTACTGATGTTTGTAAACATCTCTGGGAGTCTTTTTCAGCTGAAGAGCAGGGTAAAAATGCTTTAAGCAAATAAATACTGTAATCTACATGAATGTAGCTTTTGAGCAACGCTTCTGCTGCATCTTGCATGCATAGCTAGAAACTGTGGCTCTTCATCTGTGAGGGCTGTCCCTTCGTTTCAGGGCCTCGATGTCTGGATGACTCCCTTGGCTAATAAATCATTTGCTTTCTTGTCTTCATGCCCTCTCTGCCTTCTCGCAGATTCCATCTACAGTTCGATGTCTCCACAGTGACAAGATCCTGGCCTTCCAGCAGCAAACGCAGTTCCTGTGGGAAGCTTATTTTTCTTCTGTGGAGAAGATTGTGCAAACTACCCTTGAGGTGAGCCACAAAGATCTGGGGAGCTGCTTCCTCTCCTGTCCCAGCGTCGTGTCTGAAGTCACCAGACTGGGCAAGAGAGGCTGTCCTGTTCTGCTCCCCTGTCTCTTTCAGAGGAGCTCAGTCCACAGAAGTCAGCTGTGCAGCTTTTCAAGTAGGGTGGCCATATGCACAGATCAGGAAATCTGTAAACTGTTTGCTGCCTGTGTGGGGTAACCGAGTCCTAGACCGAGACCAAGGAGAGCCTTGCTGGACTCCTCTTCACAAGCTGCCGTGCAGCTCACTGGATGATCCTAGGGCCTGTCTCTCTCTCTCTCTCCCTCCCTCTCTCCCCAGCCTAACCTATCTGGCAGCACGTTTGTGAAGGTAAAATGGGAAGTGGCAGAGACTCCTTGAAGGAAGAGTGGTATTAAAAAAGGAAGAGAAAATATAGATAAATATCATGACAAACATTTCCTAGTGCTTTCCAGTAAGGGCTGCTGTAAGGATGACCTGAGGAAGCCTTTCCAAACCTGGTGTGTGCTAGGTGGGTTTATTATGTATTTATTAGATTCATATCCAGCCTTATTTTTCTTTTAAAGAACTCAGTGCAGCTTACATTCTCCTTCTCCTGCTCTCCATCTTATGCTCATGACAACAACCCTGTGAGGTAGGTTGGGCTCAGAGTCTGTGACTGGCCCAGCGTCATGCAGTTGGCGTCATGGTCGAGAGGGGACTAGCACCCAGACTGCCTGAGTCCCAGCCCTGTGCTCTTAACCACTACTCCACTGTGTTGAACTGCAAGCTTCAGCCAAGATGGGAGTTATAGTCCAACACACCTGGTGCATAGCAGGTTGAGGAAGGCTGGCCCATGAGATGAAAGACAGAGATTTCAACCTTTCCATAGGAATGTTTAGCAGCACTTCCAATACACTGTAGGCTCTGGAAAGGGGAAAAAAAATCCCAAGTTCATTATCCACCCAAGAATTGTCTTGCTGAACCCAAGCCAAGCAAGGCCCAAGTTTTCCAGCGTTTGGTCTTTGACAGAAGCTAAGCAGATGCTTTGCAAACTGAGTCAGGAGGATGAAAAACATGCCTTTCATGCAGCCACCAAATCCTTCGATTTTCTGTAACAGGTTACCACTGATAACTCTCAAGGTTTCCAATCAGTAGTGCTGGAAGTAGATTTTTTCAAGGAACCTGCTTATTATGTGCTAGCATTTCCTTCTGCTTCAGCTGAACAGGCTGTGGTTGCTGCATATATAGATAGAAGAGTCAGTGCAACATCACATTGCTTAATGACTGATGCGCAGCTGCAAACGATGCTTTGTTAGGGAACCCTGGGGATCCAGGAGAACATCCAGAGCATTAAGGGAAGCTGACGGCTGCTATTTTGCATTGTTGCGGAAGTTGGTCCCTTGGCAATGTTCAGCAGTACTTGATTGTTCAGTAGCATCGATTGATTATTTTCAGCACTAGGTGTGGAAAAGTGGGAACGCAAGCAAAGATCTGCTGTTGTACTTGTTTGTGGGCATCAGGTTGGCCACTGTGGAAAGTGTTCTGGATTAGAAGCCCCTTTGACCTGATCCAGCATGGCTCTTAATTCAGCTGCACAGACCAAAGAAAGGCCTGCCTGAACAAGGTTTTTGCTTGCTGATGGAATGTCCTCAGAAAGGAGTTTGGGTGTAGCTACAGAAAAGGCCCTGTCCTGAGTGCCTATGTCTCAAGAATACCTCAGACATCAGTGGAATGCAGAAAAAGGCCTCTTCTGGGAATGATAAAATTGGAATGAGACTGGGGAGAGAAAAATGAGTTGAACTATACTAATTCATATTTCTGAGCCAAGAAACTTAAGTGAAATGCAATTAAACTTTCATTGTCACACTTCTCTGAATTTTGCAATATAGTTTTCCAGTGAAAAAATGATCACAAACACACCTGTAATAAGGGAAGTACCATGCAAAAACACTTTATTTTATGGAGAATTGCTTACCAAAAGTGAGTATATTAGAAATTGCTTGTACAAAAACAAGAATCTTAGGAGAATTGAGCCCCTCTGGCTCAAATCATTCCTTGCCCTTTCAGCCGAAACTGCATTTTGTACTAGCTTTGTTCCAGCCTACCACAGCTTGGCCAGCATCTGAGTAGTTCTTAGCACTTATATAGTGCTTTGGAGCTTTCATACAGCTTCCCATATGTTCTTCTGAGAAGGGTCACAATGCCCTTGCAAGGAAGGCCAGTATTACTGTCTTCCTGCCGGACATGCAGGGCAAGGGAACGAGGCCAAGGGAATACTGGTGTGCCGAAGGAAAACAGTGTTGTGTGATGCAGAGGCAAAGTTGGGAGCGGGAATTCCCGCCTCACAGTGGACACTCATAGCACAGTGGACATGCCTCGCCAACCTAACCTGTAGGGTGAGGTGAGCACCTGGGGTTGATCTCACAGCCAGGTTGTCACCTGTTCCTCCATTAGGTGCTGACAATGCAAAGGTGTAGTGCTTATGCGATGACAACATTCTTTTTCTTTGTTAGATAATAAAGGATCGGATATTTCACCAGGAATCCCGCCCGAGGTTCTTCTGGAACACACTTCCTGGGGGGCTGCTGGCGCTGCCAGAGTATTCCACTTATCTCAGTGACTTCCCTTTCTACTACCTGCAGCAAGGTATGTGACCCCTGCCCCAGCCCTTTCTCGGTAGCCCTGCCTGGACAGCAGTCCTGATGGCACTCCCCAGCTGAGTTTGCTTTCATGGGAGTGATGATTATTCCCACCCAGTCATTGTACAGCCTTTGGGAGTTACATGGACAAAATAGACCAGACTCTTCTCAAGGACCTTCCAGTTGGAGAATGGGGAAACTGCAGAAGAAAGGAAGCTGGGCTTAGCAGAGAGGAAGAGAGGGCAGAATGGGATCTAATGCTGTTCCAGGGAACTAACAGCTGCATCGTTGCCAGCTCCGTCTGACTGCAGAGATGGGGAACTTGCAACTGATGGACTGAATTTGCCCCACCTGGCAGTCCCAACCTGGCCCATGAAGCTCCTCTCCCACCAGAGCAGGGAGAGGAGGCTGGTGAGAAACTGAGCTGATGGCCCAGAGAGTGGTCCTTGATGCTGCTCCCTCCGGGTGCTAGATAATAAAATAATAAGGGATGCTTGGTTAGTTTGGGAGTGAAGATTAAGATGGTAGACCCCGTGAAAAAGATAGGCTTGGAGCAGGAGTTTTGGCATCCAGACTTACTACATCTTTCCCTATAACAGGATCGAACCCTTCGGGCAAGTTTACAGCATTAATCCGGGCTGTCTCACCAATCGTCTCCCTCTCACAGCCCATCCTCAAGCTCATCCAAGCTGTCTCCAAGTCTCAGTATTGTGCCCAGGTAAAGAGGAGGCAGAGGTGCAGCCTGTCTCACTGTTGTGCAGCAGGGGTGGGGAAAAGCTGCACCTAGCAAACTTCTCCTTTTGTGCAGAGCTATTTAGATGCACTGGACCCGGCTTCTGTGTTACAGGTAGCCTCCCTGCTTGCTGCTGGCAGAGCAGCTCATTTGCCATGTCGATCGGAAATGTTTGCAGGCTGGGCCATGGAACCTTGCTCAGGCCAAGGGCCAAACACAGTTTCAGAGGCATGCTCAGGGGCTGTATACCAAAAAGGGCAGGGCCAGCGGTGCCAGCATATTTGAGCTTAAAGCCTGTGAGCTGCGGTCTGACACCTATGCTCTAAGGCAGACAATTTTGCGGAGCTGGAAAAGGTCTTTGTGGCTCCGAGAGACAGCGGTTTCCATGGCCACCTGGAGAAAGCACGCAGAGGGGTTGAGTCTTCGGTGTGAATGCACTTTGCGCTGTCTTCCATTTGCACATCCCAGATGTGCAAACGTCTTGTTTCAGTTTGTATAGATCCTTTTCAACATGAATATGATCCCTTTGACCTCTGTCCTAAATTCCCTTGGCTCTACTCTTTGTCTCAGAGACTGAGTCTCAGACACACTCAGAATGAGACAACAGACTTCAGGGGTGGCAGCATGTGCCGCACCAGGCTGATCTATGCAGGGTGGATGGGTTGGAAGTCATATTTCTGGCATGTTACACACGCACACCCAAACCCAACTAGTCAGAATACACTCAGGGAGCCAAGTTCTATCCTAGCCCTCCTCCTGCAGTTCTAGTTGCCTTGCAAGGCGATTGTTTGTTTGACATGAAGAACATTTTAAATACAATGATTTCCTGAACCTGGAAACGGAAGTCACCTTTCCCCCAGCTCATTCACTACCTGCAACTGTGTTTGTGTGCTTAATTTAGAGCAGAGGCAGGAGACCCATCTGTACTAGGACCCTAGAGTAGTGGAGAGGAGGGGGCTTTAAGTTTTGGATCACACCCCCTTTTGCTGTCCCCTCAATCCAGGCTTTCCAAACCCAGAGCCCTCCAGAAGTTTTCAACTACAATTCCCATCATACTTGATCACAGGTTTATCTAGGATTATTTGGCCTTCTCTACTACATCTCTTACTAAGTGGGTGTTTTTTAATTTTTGCTTGTTCTTTTTTTGTTCTTACCTAAATACACACCCAAAATATGGAAGCTAGCTGATGAGTTGGCAGGCTTCGGAGGCACCTGGGTGGGTGATGTGCTTTTTTACCTGCCAGCAGGTGCTGCTCAATCACCTTTTTTTCTAACTGCAGGGCAAGTCCTGTCAGCAACGCTGTCTTGCTGAGGAATTCAGCCAACAGGGCTCCACCTGTCCCGGACCACCCTGGGTGCTTTAACATGCAAAGCGGCAAGTTAGTTGGAGGCTGCCAGCACCCTTGCGCCCAAGTTGGCACTGGGGTTGCTTGGAACTCAGTCAGTCTCAGTTCAGTGAAGGCTGTTCCATGTGCGCAGGCTTATCTGGGGTCTTGGACTATTGATGGCGAGGGTGTCAGCCTCCGTCAGCCCAAGGGCCATGTTTCCAGGAATGCGCAGGGCCAAAAGCGAAAGGGAGCTGGGCCAAAATACCAAAAATACCAGCCTACTTTAATTAGCGTGCTTCTTGCCAGTAACTATACCATAGGAGAGGCATTTCTATCTTAGAAAGCAGTTGGGGCGGGAACTGCACAAATGCCAGGAAACCACCAAATAGTTGGCTTGGGAAAGGGGGCAGGGTGAAGGGACAGGGCGTGGCCTTCCGGAGAAGGTTCTGCACCTCGGCTCTACCCCGCAGTAGGTGAAGGCTGGGTTTTCTCGGAGGAGAAGCTTGGTCGCAGCTCCCTTGTTTCCTTCCACCGCAAAATATGAACCATGAGTGGGGATGATGGGGGATGTACTCCAATCCACCTGGAGGGCCTCAGCTTTGGAGAGCCTTCCGTGTTCTCACTGGCAGCACCTCTTCAAAGTCTCTGGCAGGGGAGGGTCTTTTGCTTTACAGCTTCCTGGATCTTTTAAATAGAAATGCTGGGAGCCTAACCTTAGACTGCCTACCTGAGTGTTTCACCACAGCTGTTCTTCTGACCTGTGCTACCACCCTGGGAGCCACTGAATCGTTCCATAAGAATACGAAATGAATGAAAGAAAGAAAACATAAGCAACTATGTCAGTGCTAGGTGCAGAGAGAAGGCCCAGGCAGTGATGAAAATCTCAGTGCTCCAGGAAGGTCTGCAGGGGAGTGGAAATTCTAATTGTGATGGCCACTTCAAAGCCAGCTTCCCCAACCTGACGCCCTCCAGATGTGTCTGATTTACCCATAATTCCTTAGCTAGCTTTGGAATGGTGGGTACTGCGGTCCAACACGTATAGAGGACGCCAGGGTGGGGATGGCTGTGCTAAGCTGTGTCCTGGCTGTATGGCTTGCGTTTGCTGCAGGGAGTGACTGCAGTTTTGGGGTCCAGAATCCCTGTGAGCTTAGAACATCAGGTTGTTGTTGTTACAATTTATATGCTGCCTTTTTTCATCTTGGAAGGACCCTAAGGCAGCATACATAGTTCTCCTCAGAAGAACCATCCTGTGAGGTAGACCGGCCCAAATTCACCCAGTGGGCTTCATTGTTGCGTGGGGACTAGAACCCAGACCTCCTGGTCCCAGCCCTGTATGCACCACTGTGGCTTCCAAGAGCCAGTTGCCCTAAGAACCCAGCAGTACTGGAATATATACTTGCAACCTGTTAAGAAGCTGGAACAGCGAAGGCTTCCCAGCCCTCATTAGCCGTTTTCATTTCCAGTTAATTTCTTCAAAGAGATGGCTGCTGAGGAACTTCCTTTAAGCAGTGGGTCAGCAAGTAGACGAGTCTCCACTGCCTCTCAGGGGTCATTTGGGGGCTCTCCTGGACTGCAGGACCCTGAGCCTGCACCCCACCCTGGTGGTACCTTTGTAGACACTGGCCAGGAAATGGGTACATCCAGTACAAGCTGCTAGATAGCCTGATAAGATTTCTTTGCATTTTGCTACCTTTTTGTAGCTCATGCACAAGTGGGAAATGTAAACAGCTAGAGAAAAGTGAAGCTTTCTTGCTATATTAAGTGGAATAGACCCATTACAACATGATTTCCCCCCAGAGTCTTTTATTACTTTCTTTTAATAATAATATTGTGATTATGTTAAAACATGCACAAGACCTGCACTGCAGAGCTGTAATTGCTTCTAACACCATAATTATATTGTTGATGTTATGTATTTTTTAAAAACCTTATTAATACAAATGAGTGGGCAAATGTGCGTGTGTACAGGAAGCAGGATGGGATGATGAGAAGTTTAAATACAAGGTATTTGCCCACAACTCAGCTGAAATGATTCATAATTAGAAATAGGAGAGAAATGAGTTTTGCATATTAATGTGAACCCACCTGATTTCCATTTCCAAACTAATGTACAAACCAGAACACAATTATTTTTTGCTAGAATTTGCACTTCTTTCAATGCTGTGATGTTGTTCTTTGTTCAAAAAATGCATGCAGACATGTTTACATTGGGAGAAATTACCTATAAAAATGCATGCATTAAGGAAAATAGTAAAAACATAGAGAGGAGGGCATAGATTAGGGGAAATTGCTTGAGAAAAATGCATTAAATGTGGAAATGGGATGAAATAAGCTTGTGTTTTAAAAAATGTGAGGCAGTTGAGAGGCCAAGTTTGGGCCTCTGGCAGGGGAGATTTAATACTTTGCCCCTCCTAGACTGATCTGGAGTAGAATATCCTAGGTATGCTACTTGCAGTGGAAAGAAAGGTTCTGTTGGTGTGTGGAATAGAGCTTTTTCTGATGCAAATAGCAGGTATGGGGGCTCAGTCTGGGTAGGAACTCCTGGTGAGGCGGGTGAGTGAGAGGATGAAATTTGTTCTACTTCCTCTCCAGGGTCCCAGTCTGGGTCTTTCCATCTACCTGTTGTTTACTTTAAAGAAAACTAGTCACGCTGTATGCATCTAGTTTAGCCCATGATTCTACGCATGGGCTTGGAAGTACATCCCACTGAATTCAAAGGAACTTACTCCCAAGTAAGTGTGCCTTAGGGCATTACAAACTTCTGTAAGGAGGGGAGAGAAATTTGTTATAGGAGGGGAAATAATGTTCCCAAAGTCATTATATTAGAAAGATTGCTTGCAAGAAATATAAATCTCTATACTGGTCATATAGTAAGAAACACATGCATAAAAATGCTAATGAATTTTCAAGCATTTCAAAAACAAAAATTTTCAAAGATCAGGATACACTGGAGAGCTCTTCAAATCAAACCAGACCAAACCCAAATGAAGATTGGGAAAATGAACAACCAAGAGAGACTGAAAGTGATAAAGTAATTTCACCCATCTGTAACCCTGAGCCCAACATTTTTTGGCCATTGAGCACATGTGGCAGTTTTGGCAGTATCACTCGTACCCTCACCAAATGGATGCTGGTGCTGGACTTGGCCCTTGACAAATGCATGGTGCACATGGCCAGTCACAAGAGACAAGCCAGGGAAGCTTAAAAAGAAGCACATGCACATCCTGCAAGGGGCTCGGAGGCACTCTTGGAAATAAAGGTGGCAGTGGAAGGCCACACTTGCCTTTCCAGCATGCCCACCATGTGGCATTGATGCAAATTCAGGCGCGGCACAGGGGGAGGCATGTACAGACACTGCTACTGGAATAAGTCCTGTTGGACTCCGTAGTATTTCCAGATGAACATGGATAAGAGCAGTGAGCTGTGGATTGGCTGGAAACTTCCTCCCAAAGTTTTCTGCTGTCTTGGGAACTCTTTCCCAAAAGTACATCCTTGCACAAATTTTTATAACCAGCCACAGACAAAGAAGGGGAAGTTTCATAGATGCATATTTTAACAGAATATTGCCTCTTTTACAATCCTGGGCAGAAGTCTGTATTCTGGGGCATGCAATCAATCAATCCATCCTTCTTGGTGTGCAATTAAAGCCTATTTTAATACAAAAGAAGACCTCAAACAAACAAAAGCCCAGCTGCTAACAAATAATTTGACTCCTGGTGACTGGAAAGCCTGTGTGAGTGGAAGCAGAGGCATAAATGGGGTGCTTTTGGGCTCACTGCAGGTATGGGGGGGTGGGGGTTGTGCCCAGCAGTGTTTGTGATGGACTTATAATCTTAGGTTAATGCCCACAAGAACCCAGACACAGGCTCTGCAGTAACATACAGGTTAGGTTTCCAGTATTTGTCTGAGCCTTCAGAGCAACTTGATTGGCAGCAGTGAGCAGGCAATCGGGGTTCAGGTCCATGGCAAGTCAAGATTCACTTGTTGCCCTGTTCAGACCACACCTCCTTTTGAATATACCAGCATGCATCTCTGATCACCTGGTGTGTGGGAAATAGAAGCAAGCAGGACTTCTGGCAAAAGAACGGTGGCCCTTTTGGGACTTGATGGTTCTTAGTTCACTCTTGCTGATTTGGGATGGCCTTTATTTCTTTTTTTTCTTTTCAATACAGGTTGTAATTTTATGGAGCTGTGAGAAACCACTGCCACAGAGCAGTACATGGCCTGAGTCCACAGTTCCCCTGATTGTTATCCAAGGCAGCAGCAGGGTAAGCAGGGCTTTTGACCGAGTCTCAGTCCCATGCTCTTAACCACAATAACGGAGGATAACTATTTATTGTACTGTAGTTCATATGTTTGCTTATGATGCAAATGACATAAAATATATTGAGAAGGAAAAACATTCACAAAAGAGAAACAGATGGTATCCTGTTTTAGGAAATCTAGAAAAACTGTCTCAGCAGAGTAGATGCAAATGTGAGCTGGGAACTTTGGAAAATAATAACTCATTGTAATGTGCTAAATCCCATTGTTGTATGAAACATCTTAGCACAAAAATGATCATATCTCTGAGAGGCAAAATATGGGGATCTGAGGACTCATGATCTGTCCACCCTTTCCTTTCTGTTGAACTCCCTGCTCTTTTGTGGTGGAGGCTCAAAAATACCATTGGGTAAGATCTTTAAGACAGGCATGCTTCCATTTGGAAACATGCTTTGCTTGCAACGACTGTGTGTATGCTCAATGCCCTTGTGCGGAAATGCCTCAAGATACCGGAATAAAAGATTAACAGGCACACCTGAGCTCGGAATCTGCATGAAAAATAATCTCTGTCCTGGTATTGTAAGTCAGTCAAGCCTGTGGCACTTGGATCTGGGGAAAGTGTGGAGAGCCAGGATCAGGCTGCAGTCCAGAAATCCCATCTCATAGTATCCCTGGGGAAAGGCGAATCAGTCACACTTCTGCATTTGGCTATGCCCTCTGCTGGGATGCGCTTTGAGATTGGCTTCCGGCGGAAAGAGGCTCCCCCTTGGCCCCTGCCCATCAAAGACAACTAGTGAGGCTCCTTTCCAGCCTTTCTGATGGCTTCTCTTTTGTCTTCTCTCCTCTGAAGGTCAGTGATCGGTTTTTGCCTTACTCCGCCATTGGGACAGATGCGGTACTCAGCCTGGATGAGCACACAAGCCTCTCGACTAGTGAGGTGAGGCGATTCTTTTGAGCCCCTTCACTTTCCAATAACACACACCCAGGATGTATGAACACACCTGAGGGCAGCCATCTCTGGGCCAGAGCTCAGGCAAGTTAAGAGGGGACTTGTGCTCCCCTGGCATGAGGCCTAGAGCCTTGAGTGGCACCGTTAAATAGTAGTCCAAACTCTGGTCTGACCGAGGGTGCTTGAGAAATTCCGTTGTGCAGATACTTTGGGAGGAAAATACCTTCTCAAATAAATGTGGAACGAGGGCAGGCATATGGGTAAATGCATGCAAAAGCAACCTGGCCTGGAAATAGAGAATTGCTGTGTTGCACTTGCTGAGCACGAGAACCAAATTCAGTCCCTTGCCCAGCTTAAGTCTTCCTCCCCCCTGTAAGTGGAGGCCAAATTCAGCTGGATGAAATTCTGAATGTGTTCCAGACACTCTTGTCTTTGTTACGCCTCCTCAAGTTCAAGCCTTGGAAATGGGTCCCGGGGCCTAATTCCTACTCCGGGGCCTGGATTCCTGTCACGTCCTGCCACCTGGGCACCAAACCCCACAAGGCTCGGCAGGCCCATGATGAAAGAGACCTCTGGGGAAGCTCAGGTGGCATCATGCCAGCTCCCAATTGATGGCCTCCTCTGCAAATGCATCACCTGACTTTTATCCTCCGAAGCCCAGCCCAACCAGGCTTCTCAGCAGAAGGCGGGTGGAACCCAGGTGCCAGGTGGGGTGGCCTTGGGCTTGTGATTTGAGGCTCCTGCATTTGACTGTTTCAGGGAGTGGTGAGCAAGGGAGGCAACCCTTTTCTTTCAAGCAGGGCTCAGCAAACTGGTTAGGGTGGGGCAAAAGGGCTTGTCATGGTTGCTTTACGGGCATGTCTACTTTCCCCAGAGGACAGGCCAGACATCTGAGAGGTCATGTCTCACACGAGCAACCACCCAACCTGCACACAATTACATTGTCTGGCATTCTTCTTCCAGGATGGACTCCACTGTCAGGTCCAACTGGAATAGTGCTGCAGGGACTGTACCGCCTGGAAACTGCACAGGGCATTTGCAGGAATCACACAGAAGGTTCTGCACTCGATCTCGCGGGCGCTCCCGCGTTCAGCTGGCTCTCTTTGCATTTCCATTTGTTTAGAATCGGACCAAGAGTCCACAGTGTACTTTGAAGGAGCCAAAGGCTGGGCAACGGGTGGGTGGCCCAACTGCCCTCTTACACAGATGCCTTTTTCTGATGCTCTTCTTCCCCCATTCTCCCCCCGACTGTCCAGGTTGACTTTGCTTTTGTTGTGTGGAGGAGTTTCCCCAACCGGATTGTAGGTTTCCCTGTACGCAGCCACTTCTGGGACACCAGCAAAAGCCAGTGGAGCTACACCTCAAAATGGACCAATGAGTTCTCCATGGTCCTCACTGCAGCTGCATTCTACCACAGGTATCCCTCCTCTGTGCTACATCATGGGGACCTTCAGAGCAATCTTGCAGTGTTGAGTGCTTCTTGCAGCATGCCAGCCAGCCAGCCAGCCATGTCTTCTTCCAGGATGCTACATTCCCCTGCCCTCCTTAGGGTGCTGTCCTGGGACCCCCCAACATTGCCTGGGAGGCCGCAGGGCCCTGAAGAGCAACCCCCTGCCCTGCCCTGCCCCACCCTCCCTGTGGCGACCGTGGAAAGAGGTATGCCATATGCCCCCACCCCAAGGTCACCATTGGGCCTCAGAGAGGATAAAAAGGGGTGCTGGCAGCAAGAAGGGAGGAGTCTGGGGCTGTGGACTTAGCCCAGTTCCAATTAGCATCCCAGCCACTTTTGTCCCTGCTCTCTAGTTTAGTATTAGTACACTACATTTCTATACCTCCCTTCACTGAAGCTCTCTGGGCAGTTCACAACTTAAGCAGTCACCCAGCTCAATTTCAACAAGGCTGACCCTGCTTAGCTTCCAAGGTTAAGCAGGATCAGGCACTGCAGGCTATGTGGAAGCAATGACTTGGTGTCGACTAGATGGCCAAAAACGGTGGGCATGAAGGGCAGCTGCAGTGATCACCATCACACTTCCCTGGGGGCATCCGACGCACAAGACCTCTGAGTCCAGCGGCTTCCATGCATTTGCTGTAGGGGTGACTGGGTTGTACCCTTAGGATAGTTTTCTAAGGTGTGTTTGTTTTAAATTTCTGCAGATCACAAGATTTCCCTAAACGTTTTGATAACTTTCTCCTGTGCATGCACATGTACTTAGAGGACTGAGTTCATTATCAGAATGTGCATGCACATGTGTGCACATATGTAAATTGTGCATGGGTTTTTCTTAACACTTAGTGGTACATAAAGTGTACAAATAAATCAGAACTAGGCGGGCAGACAGGAAAGAGGATGAAGCGGCAACCAACGCAGGGCCTGGCCAACCACTGAGAAATGGTGATGATTTTCTCACTATACCCCCATGCTTAGGGAATAGGCAGGTGGCTACCTGAGAGAGGACCTTTTCTGTGGTGGGTCTTTAGTTGTGAAGTCTAAGCCAATGAAGAAAAGGAGTGGAGGAAGACAGGTGGGACAACCTGCTGAGCTTTCTGCTTGATTAGGAGATTTAAAGGCATTCTTTGCAAGGCTTCTTTGACAAGAGGCCTTTCTTGCAGCAGTTTTAAAGTCATATGCTTAAGTACCCCTGAAAGAGAGGATGCCAGCAAATTGCAGCCATGTGCCAGGGGCCTGTACCCTACTTTGGGTGCCAGGAGCACTAAATCTCCTCTCTGCTTGACCACTGACTCCCTCTACAATCTTGGATGAGCTATCGATGCGTCTGGTTCTTATTCTAGGCTCTTTCCTCACCAGTCCCCATTTTTCACCCGACAGGTATTACCACACCCTCTTTACCAATTACTTGCCTGCTAAACTAAGGCGCCTCATCGATCAGTTTGCCAACTGCGAGGACATATTGATGAACTTCCTGGTTTCCGCTGTCACCAAGCTGCCTCCCATCAAGGTGACCCAGAAGAAACAACACAGAGAGAGCTCCTCCCAGCAGGTACAGTGTAGGAAGATGCCAGTGCGGGCATGACAGAAACCAGGAGTTGTTCCCGCGTCGTGTGTTTTCCAGCAGCCACTGGCCCCTTTGAAACAGGGCACTCTTAAGAACGTAAGAGCCCTGCTGAGTCAGAGGAGGTCCTTGCAGTCCTGCATTCTGCTCCCACAGTCGTCCAAGAGGCTGGTGAGAAGCCCACAAGCAAAACACAAGTGCAGTACAATGCCTTGTGCTGACTCAGCCCAGGGCTGCCAACATGGCTTTCAGGCAGGAACTTTTCCTACCTGGAGACCCTGGGAATTGAACCTGTGGGTGGAGCCTGCATGCAAAGCAGGTTCTTACCACTATGCTAGGGCTTCCCCTGTATTTCCCAACAGGTGAAAAGTTCTCTATTGTTCAGTCAAGTCCTGTTCTTGTCCCAGTATCAGAGTGCCTGTAGCCCCAAGGCACCTTGATGAATCAAATTAATATATCAGTGAATATCAGCAGCCCCTTTAATGCTTAACCACAGACCCTTTATCTCCCTTACTAACAAATATGATTATGTATTCTGTGAAAGTTAAAAGATATTTTCAAATAGTGCAGTTTGATAAATATTTGTTCTGACCAGCCTAAACCATATGCATTTTCTCAAAATCTGACATTTCAGGGCAAGAAAGAAAATCTCCCTACGCAGATTGTAGCTCTGTGCATGGAGCAGTAGAACCAACCATGGCTGGTATATTCCATCTTTCTTGCCCTGCAGAGACATTGGCCCCAAGGAACTGTGGGAAACTTCCCTTCTGAATACGCAGTGGGCACAGTCTGAAAGAGTAGCTTTGGTAAACAGCCGTTCTCACTAAGGGAAGTGTGTTTGTATATATGCTGCTGCAGAGTGTCACCATGGGCGGAATCCTGTTTATGTGTTGACAGAAAAATGTCCGACAACTCCCAGCGCAGCTGGCTGGGGCATGCTAGGAGCGACAGGGTGCTTCCTCTGTCTCCTTCCATCCCTTTCACTGCTTCCCTTTGCTTCTCTGTAGCTACTGAAGAGTGTCCCCCCAGCCACCAGGAACCTTCACTTCTCTCAGCGCCAGGAGTGTGTCAACCAGTTCGCAGCCTGGTTTGGGTACATGCCGCTGGTGCATTCTCAGTTCCGCCTGGACCCTGTGCTCTTCAAAGACCAAGTATCTGTGCTGCGGAAAAAGTACCGGAATCTAGAGCGGGACTAGCTTTGGATAGCAGGGACCTGCAGAAGCAGTCCACCCCCTGCTGGACACTGGGAGGGCTGCAACATGTTGGCACAGCTTTGCTGCCAATTGGGGAGCCGTCCATGCAGCAGTGATATCCTGGAGATGCTGTTTACATTAGCTGCATCAAAATCCTCCTCATTTGGGGCACTGAAAGATGGAAACTTGTCTTGCTGGTAGCTGTGGAGATGCCAGATGAATTTACAGTCTTTATTGGGTTTTACCAGTACAATAAAGGTTTGCAGGAAATGGCTGCCTCCCTTTCCTTTCTTCCAGCAGGCCTCTTCACACTGTTTGTGTTTTGCAGAATTTTTTCCAATGGAGCAGGTTTGTCACCCTTGCTTGAAATTTACTGGCCTGGTCTGTGTTCTCATCTTCTTGCCCAGGAAAAGGCTTGTGTGTTGAATTTCTTTGATATTTTCCTAGTTTCAAGAAGATTCATTTCAAAAATGTTGTAACTTGCTGGGGAAGAGAGCACTCTGCGTATACTCAAAACACTGTGTTCTGGCATCGATTTCTTTCCCTGAATTGCTTGAAGAAATGTAGGTGCAGGGTTAATGAAATATACTAAATCTGCTCAATTTAATGGAATCTACCTTGCAACTTGACTGAAATGATGTTCTTATAGTAGCTTTCAAAATACAGTGGTGAAGGGTGCAATACAATGCATTTTCAGACAGGAAAAATTCTTACATGCTGGCTGGGGAATGCTGGGAGTTGTGTGACTTTTTCGATTAAACATGCATAGCATTGTGCCCTAAAGCAGCGATCTCCGACCTTTTTGGCACCAAGGACCGATTCCGTGGAAGACAATTTTTCCATGGACTGGGGCAGGGGAATGGTTTTGGGATGATTCAAGCGCATTACAGTGGCACCTCATACTTTGAACTTAATTTGTTTCAGGAGGCCATTTGAACTCTGAATGTTTGACATCTGAAGCAATGTTCCCCATTAGAAATAATGGAAAGAATTAATCTGTTCCCATACTCTGAACAATACCCGTCTTGATAAACTGAAACAGTAAATACACATAATTTAAGGTAAAAATGACACAAATGAATGCCAAATTTATTAATTAAAACTTGAAAACAATAAATTATGTAAGTATGTACTATATAATAAAACAAAAATTGCATTTACTGTCCAAATTTTTCAGTGAGGAGGGGTGAAGCAAAAAAGGATCGAGAAGGCAGTGAGAAGGATCGGGAAGGCAGGCAGTTAAAAGTGACTGAAAAGGACTGAGGCGGCAGTGAGAAGAACTGGGAAGGCAGGCAGTGAAAAGGTACTCAGAACGATCAAAAAGGGCACTTGCCTAAAAGGCACTGAGAACAATCGAAAAGGCACTCAAAAGGATCGAAAAGACACTCAATGAAAGGCACAGACACAACGAGAGGAGAGACGACTTGGGCACTCGACTGATGATGCTTATGCAGTGATTGTGTTTTTTTCTCTGTGGCTGCAGTTCGAACTTAGAAGCACAGTTCGAACTTCGAAGAGATTTTATCTTGACTCGAGTGTTCAAATTCTGAATTTCTCCTGCTGCTCACCTCCTGCTGTGCGGCCTCGTTCCTAAAAGGCCACGGACCAGGGGTTGGGGACCCCTGCCCTCAAGGACCATAGGAAAAGGTAAGAAGACCAGGCTGCGTTTTGCCCTTTTGGCTGAAAGGGAGCTGTGACCTACGCTGTATTAGACGGCATGGAGCTGGCCCAGGTCTAGGTCTCTGTAGCAGTGAGATCCAATGAGAGAGGAGTGTGGCAGGAGGAGGTAGGATGTGGCTGTTATTTTGTTTGCAAAAAAAGACTAATGGGGATTTTTGGAAGGGATTTGATTAATATTCTGGCAGTTGCCTGCAAAATAAAATTAAAAATGATGTGTTTATGAAGTTAGGAATGATGCTGGAGGAAGAGAAGGGTGGTGTGAATAATGCCTTGGCACAAGCATTTCCTGCTGGAGTTTCCAGAGCCTGCCCTGAAGTATTTCCCACATCTGAATGTTTGATCCCTTCAGAATTTTTTACTGGCAAGAACCCAGTTCTCATAATTGGCTAATTAAGCCAAGGGAGAGGAAGCTGAGGAAGACCATATATAGTTTCTGAAAAGCAGAATTGCTGTTTGATGAAAGGGAATTTAGTTGTCATTTGCCTAAATTTGCATGGGTTATAATGAAACTTAAACCTTTTGGCACAAGCCTTTTTATTGTGTACATGTCATTCCTCAGTCGTGTTTGTTGACAGATGCTTTAGACATTTTGTTTCTGGTTTTTAAAAGCAATTTCACTTGGCTTTTGAGGCAAGAATATCCATTATTTGTCAAGAGAAACAAATGCTAATCTCTCAAGTGTAGTTGCATCATTCAGCTAAAACACAGCACTGTGTAGAGGTTAAGAAGTGGAAAAAACAGAAAGGAGAATAATCTGTATACAGCTCTGTGCTTTGCTCTGCAGCAAAGCAGAGGTAGAAACAGTGGGTTAAATGGAAAAGCTAGAAATGCATTTGTCTAGAAATGCTCTTTTGCGAGCCTTCATATTTCTACTCAGAATGACTTCCCATGAACTTAGTTTCAATCCCAAAGAAGCACCCATGGTTTTTGTACCACTCCTTTTTGTCCTCGCAACAATCCGACAAGGTAGGCTTGGATTTAGTGACTAACTTGGGTGGCTGAGGATTTGAATGGAGATCTCATTCCTAATTAGATGTTTTAACTACTCTGCCAGCCTGTCTCCCAGGCAGACTGTGGTCCAGCAAAGACATTTTGGACAGGAAAGAGCAGCAAATAGCAAGTTGTTATTGTATTTTTTACAAAAAGGGAAGAGATGGAGAGCTTGAGGGATTTTCTCCAAAATACCAAAATAACATGGCTAATTTGGGGAGTCGGCACCTTAACTTGAGTGAAGAAGGGCGGCATTTACTGCTCCATGTGCAGGCAGCAAAATCTCATTTTTAACCAAGCGGGTTGTTTTAAACTCTTGAAATCCAGTATGCACAGGGGTGTTCACCTGCAAGCTTGAGCAGGGTGCAAAACTGGCCTTCCTAGGTTCCCAATCAGGCCTTTCTAAGTTTCCCAGAAGCTCACGCCTACTCTTTAACCCAACCACCAAACACTGGATGGTTATCTGGGTTGGTACAGTTTTTTCACCCATTCTTAAGGTTGAAATGCCTCTTCTGAGGCTTAGCTGCTGGTCGTAAGAGCATTAAGCTAGAATATACTCCCTGTCCCCCGCCTTGGCCTTTGGCATCACTGGAATGCAGTCCTTGAGAATATCTTTGAAAGCAAATTGGGCCCTTGGCAGAAAGGTTTGACGTACCTGCTTTAGAAGATGCCCACAGACCACGGGAATTCCAGTGAGGAAGCGGCAGGTGACACAAGTCTGAAGGGAGGGCAGCCTTGTGCTGGAGTGATGCTGGCAGCAACCAGGTAGTGACGAAAAGGCCAGAGAAACGCATGTCCCAAGGGCGAGCCGGGATGACAAAATTCCTTGTTACCTGCTGCTGCAGTAGCACAAGCATTTCCTTGGGGGGCTGCCTCTGCTCTTTTCTTGGGGAGGCTAGCCCTGCTTCAGAATCAGCCTGGGCATTGCACAGCCTGGAAAAAAACAACTCGGAAGAGTCCAGGGGACCTCAGAATCGCTCTTGCGCCAACCTGAGGCCCTATCCAAGCAATCATTCCATAAACAGTCTCGGGCAGCCGCCACACCATAAATACAGTGTTGGCAAATGCGGCATAAATAACAGCTTTGACTCGCAAGCGGCCCCTTCTGTGCCATAAAATCTGTCATTCCTTCAGGCAGCTTGCCTCCACTGTCCCTAAAGCAGCAAACAGAGCTTCCCTGGAATATTGAGCAGCCTGGGGCTCGTGCAACTTCTGTTGGCAGGATGGATGGCAACCAAAATCCCCTCATTAAACATCACTGGATCAAGCTAACATCTCCCGGGGAAGTGATTGGCTCAGAAGGATGGATGAATGCATGGCAACCCCTCCTATCATGTCATCTCAAGCCGGATGACATTTGGAGCAAATCTCCAGCTATGTCCAAATAGCGCTTATCCTGTCCTTTTAAAAATTAGAATTTAATTTATATATGGAATTACTGCATATATTTGCTCACAAGCACTTGTTGCACAGGGTTTTCAACAAGAGATTTTTATTGCTAACATGTTATCTTCCAACCTCTAGACATTTGTAATAAATGATTTGCACCGACATTTGATTCTCCTTAGCGAAATCTAACTCTTCTTTCATGCCTTATCTAAGGACTGCCCTTTCAAGATGGAGTTCAAACACTCATCCTTGGCCTGGTTCCTCCTTGTTTTCTCTTCCCTAGGAGCAGTTCTCCTGGAGCTACACACACAAACGTTTTCTTTTTAACCCTGTATTTGTCAAAGCAAAGGAGGCACTATCTATTCCAAGGCCACCTCCAGGTAGCCTCTGAAAGGCACATTGACCAAGTGGGCACATCAGTCCCACCTGGGCTTCCATGCTATCCTGAGATCATGCACAACATTTCTATTTCAATTGTAAGACTTATTTCTGAATGTGCATATTTATATATAAATCAGAACAATATATGCAGATCACTGCATTCTTCTGTCCTCTTTCTGGATGATGCATTTCCTCTTTTTGGTGATTCATAAGTGGCCCTGCTACATTACTGCTGCTACATCGCAGGCACGGTGGGAAATTTTGAATGGCTGCCTTCTGCTCCCACATGGCCAGAGAAATATTTTGCCCTTTCAACCTGGCCGAGGCCCTGCCTAAAAGCAGCTCTTTTTGGACCCCCTTCTTCCCTGGAAAAGTTGCAGTGGTAGGCCAAAACAGTAACAACTCTGCCCTATTCATTGTGGTTCAGTGAAGTTCATCTAGTCCTGACTGACAGAAAATAGACGTTTCTGTTTGCCACCAGCTCTGTCCTGCTCTTAAAACTCTGTGCCACCCCTTCCTTTTGAAAGCAACTGCCTGAATGCCACAATCCTTTAGTCGAAGAAAAAAAAAAAGTCGTACAACTTCCAGTGTTCCCTAGCCAGTGCTGCCGTTCCACCTAAGCCCCGTATTGGGAAATGGTGGGCAAACACAGTGTCTTAGCATCACACCTGTCTCCAACATGGCAGCAAAACCAGAGTGGTGTGGTGGTTAAGAGTGTTAGACTGAGACTTGGGAGATGGGAGTTCTAGTCCCACTCAGCCATGAAGCTCACTGGGTGATTTTGGGTCAGTCACAGACTCAGCCCAGCCTACCTTCCCAGGTTGTTGTTCTGAGGATAAAATGGAGCTATATAAGCTCCCAGGGGCTTCTCACAAGAAAATAAAGGTGGGATAGAAATGCAATGTAATAATAACAATATGCTATGCATATCCACCAGCAGACCACAGAGTGAAAAAATGGGATGCTAACCCAAATTTAATTCTACTGTTCCCTTCCCTAAAACTAAAAACTGACCCTTGTGGACGTTTTCTCCCACTTACTGCAACATACTTTAAGTAGACCACTGAGGCCCTCTAGCGGTGGGCCAGTGAGTCAGATTCAGGCCTGTGGTAGCAAAGGGGTGTAGAAGCAGAAGATATTCAGGCTCTGCCTATTTAGGGTCAACCAGGTGTATTGAAAAGGCAATTAGCACACATCCTTGAAAAGACTCAGGTGTAAGTGAGTCACACCTGTGATAGCCCAGGTGCTTTCTGCATCTGTTGTAATTCACATTTTTTTCTGAGGCAAGACAAGGTCTGCACTTGCGCTAAATCAACACAGGCTGCAAGCAGACAGGTGCCGTCAATGACAACACATCTGTGGCCGCTGTGGAATGCCTTGCAAAGTAACTGACAGGCTTCCATTTCCCTCTGTGCAGCAAATGAACACTATCTAAGCGAGGGCTTTTCCTGGTGGGGAGAGGCCTTGCTACTTCCAGTACTGGCCACCTCCATTCTCCCCAGCCATTGCTGGTGTGCTTGATGAACCTCAGCAGGGAGCACATCTCTGTTTCTTCAGCAGGGCTGAACTGCATGGGACAAGGGGTTTCAGTAGGCGTGCTCAAAGCAGTTAACTGTTTCTTTAAGAAAACCACCTTATCTTGCAGCACCTTACCTTGGCATGTTTTGAGGCATCGTTCTTCAGGGTCTACAGCACACATCACAGGAGGCACAAAAGCTTATGCTGCAAAAAAAGCGCTGACTGTGGTGCAACAGACTCACCCAGCGTCCCCCTGGAAGTTATTTTTAAAGGCATCCCTATGATGCACTTCCCAAAACCAAGGCATGTGTAGTGAGTTGGCCACATCTCAAACCGCCCATGATGCTCTGGGGCAGGGATAGTCAACCTGGCATCCTCCAGATTTTTGGACCGTATCTCCCATCATCCCTGTGGAAGTTGTAGTCCAGAACATCTGGAAGGCACCAACTTCCCTAGTTCTAATGCCAGGCATTCCAGGGCACTGTGGGAAATCAACTTTCTGCTTCTGTGGCTGGGTAAGACCCAGAGATGTGGGAGGGAATGCACTAAGGGACACTGCCAGGAGACCCATGGAACTCGGAACCAGCTCTGAACTCAGGATACAAAGCACAAGATTCCCCACCCCCGTGGAAGAGGAAGAGCGTCTTGCAGCCAAGTCAATGAATAGGCGAAGAAATACCATTATTTTATTTTAAATCCATATAAAATTACACTTCCTGTTGGGCTTGAGAGGAAAGGGATAACAAATGAAAGGGAGGGAGTGGGTGGGGAAGAGAAACAGCAGTTCTTTGCTGCGCTCCCCAAACATACTAGGAATTGGCATTTCATTGTCTCCAGGTGTGAGAGAACCGTAGGACCTCCGAGGTAGCAGCTTTGACCAGGCCAAATGTCAGTTTGCAGGTTGCCAGGCAACCCTCCTCAGCAGGTGGAAAGAATCAGTCAGAGGGGCTCTGGCACTCCCGACAATCTTTCATGTCCTCGGAATAGTTTTCTATCTGGATGGTTGTTGTATGGAAGTTGAAGGCTCCCTGCAGCCGAGAACTCGCTTCCTTCAAGACAGTCTGTGCATCGGCATCTCCATCTGGGACAGAGCACGAGAGAACGCTGTTAATCTGAAGCAGAGGGTGGGTCATGGCGCCGCAAAAGCAGCCTTCCCAGAAGGGAGAGTGGGGTGTGGGTTTTGGCCCAAGCCTCCCCTCAGAGGGGTCACTTACTGATCGCGATGTGGACAGACAGCACTGGGTGAGACACCGTCAGGGCCCATATGTGGAGGCTGTGGAGGTCTTTCACCCCACTGATGGACAGGAGGATGTTCTTCACTGTGTTGAAATCCACTCCCTTTGGGGTACCTGCAGAGCAGGGGGTGGGGAGGGCAGAGGCTGGTACAGAGACGACACAACTCCCCTCCTGTGGCTGTGTTGCGTCCTTCCGCATGGCCAAAGAAAGCGTGGCTTTTACCTCCAAAGCTATGGCAGCCATTTTGCTTCCGTTGCTGTAGCCAATCGATCTGAGCAGTTGTGTTGCATAGAAGCCCTCTCCCTGCCACTTTCCTGACAGGAATTGTGACACCCCGCCCCCCACAAGGAGCTGCCACAAGCTTTGGAGGCAAAAGGGCATGCCTCCCACCCCCATATTTAAAATGTCATCTCATGTCTGGACAGAAAAACGGGTGGTAACTCCCAGCATGGCTGGCTGTGACATGAGGGAAGCTGTGAGCCTTTGGCTGCCTCAGTTCCCACAGGCTTGCACCCGCAGGCGCTAAAGAGCTGTCTCCTTTCCCCAGAAGGATTTTAGCCCCCTTCTCTAAATGCCCAGCCTTCCTTTAAGTAAAGGTGTTGAACCCCCTTCAGTCAGAGGGGCAAATTTTATTTCAGAGAAGCAATTTGGGGCCACATTTCCTGGGTGAGTGGGTGGGTGGGGGCCGAGACAGACAGAGCAGGCCTAAGGAAGGGGGGTACAAAGTGAGGCATAATTTAGCTGGAAAGCTTTTCCCCTTAGCAAGCAAGCCATGGCAAACCCATTTCAATGTTTTGGAATGAGGAAAAGGCAGCACAAGAGCTGAGAAACCAGCCAAGGATCATTTGGTTTTGAAGTACTGACCAATTACAGGGTCACCTAAATCAGGGATATCAGGGCAACAGATACAACCCCCACCCCAACATTATGTACCATAAGACCAGTATAAAACCAAACATCAATTCAGTAAAACATAAAAATGAGGCATAAAAATGACTTCAACTCACTGGAGAAATACAGATCTAATTTAAAATGCTTGGACATATTGTAATCTAGCCCAAATCACGGGGTAGGGCTGAGGTCTAGTTAAAATTAGATTAAATGTGTAATTATAGCATTTTATGTTCCTCAAAGGTTGCTTTGACTTATCATGCCTGCCCACTCCCTGTATGCTTAGGACTACCCAGCACACCTGCAAAATCTGTACCAAATGCGTCTTGCTTTATGCATAACCCAAACTAGCTCTCACGGGGCCCTTTCCCCACTGCAGGAATTACCTTCCATCAGCACAAGCACCACATCTCGGAGGATGCTCAAGGTTGTTCCGAGGACCAAGACGGAAAACAGGAAGGTACAGACAGGATCCACATATTTGTACTCCGGCTTGTAGGATAAGAATGCATAGAGCAGAGGAGGTAGGCAAGACAGGGACAAGAGCACCAGGCTGGTTCCCATCAAGGAGCTCCACCCCTCCTAGTTCTTTCCCCCCTCAGTTTATACATTATCTTACTGTTAGTTGGATCACTGTCGACTTGATTTCTCCTGATACTAAAACCTCCAGTAGGGCTTTGTAACTTCTACTTTGACTCACAGGCTTCTGGGCATGTATTTGTGTTCTTGCATGCACACCTCCCCTAGTAGCCTGTTTGGGGTGATGCTCAGGGGGCGTTCTCAAATTTCTGAATGGGGCCATGGCCCAAAAAAGGTTGCCTACTCCTAGTGTAGATGGCAAACCCCACTTCTGCTCCAGGGTGAGGCTCTTTGGTGTTCTGCACAGCATCTGACATTGTGGACACAAAAGCAACTTTGCATAGCTAAAACAGTGATAGCAGCAGTTTTACCCTTGGACTAGAGGTGGGGAAACCCTTCTAGGTGTTGTTGGAATGACTCCCATCAGCACTTTTATCCTTACAATAACCCTGTGAGGTAGGTAAGACTGAGAGTCAGTGAATAGCCTGAATTCACCCAGTGGGTTTCATGTCTGAGTGGGACCTGGAGTCCTCCTCCCAAGTCCCAGGCTGACATTCTAACCACCACACCTGTTGGTTCTTCCAGGAAAATGTTTTGCCACTTGATGTGTTGCTGGTGGATGGGATGATGCATTTTGAGTTACTGGTTCTGCACATATTTCTAGTTCTTGTCTAATGTTTGTGGTATATCAGATTAATCTGGATTATGAGAGGTTGGGAGTAGGAGCCTTCTATTATCCGTTGGGGTGGGGGGAAGTTCTGCCTTTTAGAATTCTTCCCCTTACCTTGAAATAGATAATGTAGGCTGCCACCAAGACGCCAATGCTCTGCACAAGATCCCCAACCACGTGGATGAAGGCAGCCCGGACGCTGGTGTTCTGCCCCCTCGTGTCATGAGCATGATGGCTGTGACCATGCCCAGGCTGGTGGAGGGCAAACCCCATTCTACAGGAAGAGAGTGAAAGTGGGGTGGGGTAGAGGAAGGGGCCGAATGTGAGCCAGGCAGGTTTTGAGCTGCTCTTGCATTCCGTACCCCCTACATTGTAGGGCCTACAATAAAGCCGTTCTTGGTACTTGGTGCCTGAGTGTGCAAGGAGGGCAGTGCGTGCCCATTTCCCACCCTGCCTGCATGCACAGGGGCACCGGGAGGCTGTAGAAAAAGCACCTGCACACAGGTGGCTCAAGCTGCTGCAAGGAAGTGAGCCTACCCAGGCGCGAAGGCCCAGAGGCGCCTCCCATTCTGTTGGGGTTTGCACCCTGCCCTGCGGTCTCCCACTCCCTTGCAACGTCTGCCATTTCTAGCACAGAGAGACGGGGAAACGGGGCACAACTGGGAGATGCAGGCACACACTCAGTCACACACGCAAGCTCTTTCTCAAAGTCCTCAGAGTAGCAACAGAAGATGCACCCCCAAAACAATCTGGACTAGAGCACAGGGAGGGGAAGGATTAAAGCACCCAAACATAATAAAGACCCTCTCTGGCTTTTGGGGATGGAACACCGGCACTCAAGGCCAGAACTGTGCAGCAAAAGTAACTGGCCGTGAAGCCTAGGACTTTCCAGGATGTCTTCCCAGTCCCTTTACCTGGACGTGCCAGGGATTGATCCTGGGCCCTTCTGCATGCAAAGCAGGGGCTGTGCCACTGAGCTATCATTCTGCCCACCCAAAAGGTATCCATGACCTGAGGGAACTCCTGTCAGGTGCAGAATGTTCCTAGGCTGAAAAGTTATTTTGAACATTCATACGTACATGATGTTTACTGCCACTGCGCAGCCAGAGGTGATGAGCATGGTGTTTCCTTCTATTTCATAATCACCTGAGAGCAGCCGCTGCACTGCTAGGTAGACCAAGACGCCAGTCACTACCCAGATAGACAGCACAGAAAGCAGGGCTCCTAAAATCTCTGCGGAGAAAGCCAGTAGCATGGGTTAAGTGCCTAAGATAGAAGCTGAGCCTGGAACTAATCACGTGACAATATTTCTCCTGAAAGCCAGTGGAATATTAAGACGCTCAATCACATTGTTCCTGCACTTCCTTTCTGTAAGCTTCAGAGAATGGCAGCATGGTGGATCTAGTAGAATACTAGATTAATCTTCAGGAGTGATGGGTAAGATTCTAGAGACTGATGGTGGGAAGAATTCCTCCCTACCAAAAAAGAAAAAAAAGGCTTGGTGTTGCTTTGGGTGCAGGCCTGGCAACTCTGAGCCGCTTAGCTGTGCTCCTGGGCTAAGGAGCCTTCTTGGAAGGGGGGCAGCCTTCCCTCCTGCAAGAAAGCCCCATAGAAAGCTGCTACAGTATGCATTAGCTCACTCTGGGGGCAGTACATCCCAGGAACCCAGCTAAGCTGCTTAGAGCAACCAAGCCAGTGTGTGAAGTAGGAGAAGCCCTTCACCACTGCAGCCAGGAGAACAGGTAGGCAGAATGACCAAAGCAGGTGTTGCATAAGGTAAAGGTAAGTGCCTGAAAATCCTGGTAGCATTTCACCCACAAAAGTCCCAGGATCTCGTCTCCCATTTTCATGGGGCATAAATGTTCCCATGGAAGTGCAAGTGCTGATGGCAGGACATATTTAAACTGACTGGTATCAGGCATCAGCCATTCCATTTCAGCACAGGCCCCACCACCTGGGCAGTACAGCTGCCTGTAAGGCAACACTGACTTGGATGCCTGAGAAATCCAAGAAATCCAATTCGGTTCATTCTTGATCAGGATTTACCCAGTCTGCGCTTTCTGGATCAAATGTGGGCTTTGATGGAGTATACAATCAACGTATGCACATTGCCAAGTCTGCAGTGTTATTTGTAGATGCAAAAACTTGCATTCAACAACATTTGTCCTTTTGGAAAATGTGCATGAAAATGCCATACTTTTGAAAAAGGCACACAAAGATGCTTTAAACTGTGGAAGGAGGAGGCGTGCATTTCAAAGATGTTCACTTTTGGGAAGGTTGTGAACACAGGTGACAGAGCCTTGAGATCTTCACTTGTGGTGTCTTTGTGGATCCACGTATCTGGATACATACAGTTCTATACAAGTTCTCTGATCCACCCTCCAGTGTAAAATTGGGGCAACAATCATCCATGGCCTACTTTGTTGGGGTGCTGTAAGCATTACTAATATGCATGATGTACTTTGCATGCTTCGAAGGTGCTACATGAAGTGCTAAATATTATTTCTACTAAAAAGTGGAGGTGTTTCTAACAGCACCAACTCTCGGAAAATTCTGTTCCCAGCTGGTGGGTTTGCTAGACTCATCCCAGGTTCTATTTGCCTTTGATCCACTTTAGAACAAGCTCTTCTCCACTGACAGTGCTGTGCTACATATATTTCCTCAGAACAAAGCCCTCCACAAAGATCGGTGGGTCTTGTTCTCTAGAAAATATACATATTTAGGATTGCAGTGCAACTTACCTGCTCGATGCCAGCCAAAATTCATGGTTTTGGTGGGTGGCCGAGATGACATCCAGAGAGAGAAAAGGCTAATCATCATACTGGCAAAGTCGGTCAGCAGATGAGCCGCGTCTGTCATAATGGCCAGGCTGTGGGCATAGTATCCCCCTAGGGAAAAGGGAACAAGCAGGAAGAGGCGTTGCAGAGGCTGGTGGCTTGACACAGCAACTGTTCCCTCCTCCTGATGTCCAGAACCCCTGCCTGGGCTTAGCTAGCAGCATGTCCAAGGAGAGTTCCAGCCTAGCTTTCTACCTGCCATGTGGGATTTCTAGATTCATGGAGTCTTCTTCCTCTTCAAACATGAGCGGTATCACGTGCAACATCCCTGCAGTGTATGCTCACACTGCACAATCTCAGTGTGGCTGTGCCGTATGGTATTTCCACATCTGTACTCATCAGTACTAAATGTCAGGCATAGCTGAGAATTTGGTTTCAGTTTGATTTTGACAAGTGTTGCTCCGAATCAGCAAATTTCTTCTTCTTGTTTGGGCCTGACAGAATTTGAGATCTGAGAAAAGGTGAATGTGGATTGAAACAGTTTCCTCCAACTAGGTAAATGGTTCTTTTGGAAAACAACAACAACTCTGGATTTGAATCTCTGGGTATTCAGCCAGGCTAGAGCTGAATTATGGTTACCAATTCTTTCCTTTCTATAAGCTCCTCATTTGTAGAAGCTACAGGTACAATATGGACCTCTCCCTGCATGTGGCCAATGCAGATGGGCAAGAATGTCATGTCGGCTCCTTTTTCCTAAAGAGTTATCCAAATTGGCAAATGTCATGACAGAAAGAGCTTAAATTTTAAAAAATTCCAAAGTGGGAGAGAAGAAAGCCTACCCTACAGATCTACCTGTCCCTGCTGAATTAGGAGCTAGCTCTTAATCTGATGGCCATGAAAGGAGGAAAATGCACAAGGTGACAAGTATTGGAAGCCTTACCCACAACTTCCCCCGTCATAAAGACCAAGCAGATGACGGAGGCGAGATAGAGCTTCCTTCGAGCTCTCACTTTTTCAGCATCATAGCTGCTGCTAGATGCCCAGCTGGAATGGCAGTGCTGGTTCCCCTTCATGCTCAGTTCAATGGAGGCAAGGTCTGGAACATAGCCAACCATCGAGCCATGGAGGTTCTTCCCTGTGACTCCTAAATACGACCTGTGTCATAAAGAACAACTTTAAAAAAGAAAACAGTCACGAGAGATCATCTCAGAGGGAGCTGCTACCAGCTCCAAAGCTCTCCTGTGGTCTTCCCCAGCCCAGTGTCTTGGACTACAACTCCCATCATTCCCAGCCAGTTGGCTGAGCCACAAACAAGGAGAAGGCATAATTACATGGAGAGAATTGTTGTATGGGTTCCTCCTTTTAGCAGAGATGTGCTTATGAATTGGTGGGGGGCAGCCTGCCCTCTCCCTATCTGTTTAAAACATGGTGTGCTTCCAGACAGAGGGGCCCATGGGCTAACAATCTTGTGCAGGCCTTATGAAGTGATTCCATCTCTCTTTCCCTTTAATGGGATGTCCATGGTAAGAGAATGATAGCAGCAGCGGCATGGTTAGTATAGCGGGATCAGGAGTGGAAGACCTCATCAGTGGGATGCAAGTGACAAACCTGTGAATGAGGCAGGTTGACAGCATGGTAAAAACCTCACCACAAGCCATTTCTAGAGTAAAACTTGCCTTCCAGGATGCAGCCAGTTTGACTTGCAAGCCGGAAAAATCCACTGGCTTGAATGTGCCATCACGTTCTCTCTCTGCCTCACACTCCTGGCTGGGTGTGAACACACCTGGAAAGTCAATCCACTGAACTGAGTCCTCATGGCGAGGGTTTCTGTGGGATCGCTGGTCAGGGCGAAGAGATGATAAATTGGTTTCACTGCTCTTAGAGTGTGAGGAGGGGCAGCTCCAGCAGCCATCTAGGCCACTCCTCCTCTGGCTGCAGGGGGAGTGACCATTCCTCTAGGTAATGTGGTTCTGCTGCTGAACAGCTCTTCTGGCCAGGAATGTCCCTCAAATGTTCGGCTGCAATCTACTGTCTTGCAATATGTTCTGTCCCCTGGATCAGCAGAGAACAAGGATGTGCCTGTTTTCAGGATAACAAACCAGCTCCCTCAACCTCCTCTCACAGAACTGGCTGTCCCAGACCCTGACCAGCCCGCCATCTTCTCAAAAGCACTGTGCTCAGAGTCGGGCACCATATTCCAGATGAGGAGTAGAATGGAAAAATGCAATTCCCGGAGGGCACCCAGTTGGGGAAGAAGTATTCATGTCCATCTTTTGCTCTCCTTTACTTTTTTCCTGAAAGGTCACTGTAGTTTTTAGCAAAATGTTGACTCCCATTGTTCCCAGGCATTTTACGCTAGATTACACACGACTGATTTCTTGCACACTGCACTGCCTAAACCGGAACAACCACTGAATTTACAGCCCCCACTCCCAGCCCAAGCCAGCACCCTTCCAGATGTGTTGGACTATAACTCCCATCATATTGACCCTGTTGACTGGTAATGATGGGTGATGTAGTCTGACACATTTAGAGTGTAGCAGGCTGAGGAATGAGGAACTGTGACCTGGTCCTGCTCTCTTCCAAAGCATCCCGTATGGATACACTTGCAGGGCACTGAGGGGAAATGACCTCTTTCCCCATACTTTTTAAACATCCTTATACAGCAGAGTTCAAGGATGGCATGGTTACTAATTAATAGAGAGGAAGGGCTCTTGAAGCACGCATCCTGGGAGGGCCGAAAGCTGCCGTCTTCCATCGGGACGAAGGCCTGCTTCTCACAGGGGTGCTGAACCATTCAGCTTGAGGGCCAACTGCACCTCTGAGAACTCCTGGGGGATGCATTCCACAGGCTGGCGGGGCCAAAATGCCAGCTTAGTTTGGCTCAACCCTCTTCCTGCTAGGAATGAAGCCCAGCAGAAGCACTGTGACTTTCTAGAATCGGGGAAATCCCACTCCTGTGCCAGGAAGCCACTAACTCCGTGGTGGTTGGTGGGGGGCGAGGAACAGGGGGGGCAGGAAAAGAGGGTTTCCTCATCTGGAAAACACAAGGAAGCCAGCCTGGGACCACATGAGAGCCAGATTTGCTCCTTCGGTCCAAGGTTCTGAACCACGCAGCAGGAATTCAATGGGTAAAGCTTCCTGGGCCCTCACAGCACTCTCACACCGAGTGTTGGGTACTGAATGCATGTGTGCAGCTGTGCACGTATTCTAGGCTATAGAGAAATCTGAAAATGTCTGCCATCCTGCTTTGCCCTTACAGTCCAAGGGCTGAAGGAGAGGGGCTGGGGATTTGCAGAGTGTGCTTGAAGAATTTTACATCGGAAGGATGGGATGGCGCTAAATCGCTAAAGTTGCGATAATTTGTTATGGCTAAGATCGTCTAGGCGCACTTATAGAGGATCAAGCCCCACGGAACCCAGTAGGGCTTACTTGCAAGTAAATGTGGCACAGAATCAGGCCGCCGCGCTTCCTAGCTCTGCAATCCTCCGCACCCAGGGGAGCTTCGTCCGGAGTAAGTAAGAGCGTAGGATCGGGCTGCGCAAGTCGAAGGGGAGAATCTGGCGGCTGGTAAGCTGCCGCTGTTGCGTTGCGGGGGCGAGGGCGGAATTGGTGATAGTGCCGGAAGTCTGTGTTGACCTCGGGGCGGAGAACGGCCAGAGAAGTGCGGGGAGGGTGCTGGTGCGCGGGGCGGAGGCCTCCTGAGCCGCACTCACCTGCCTTCCATCCCGTTGAGGAGGTGGCTTTTCTCTGCCCCCGCGGCGCGCAGCTCCATCCTTCGCCCGCGACAAGGGCGTGCGCGCTCGGCGGGGCCCCGTTTCCTGGCCGGCCGTGTCCCCCTCCTCGACTGCTCCAGCGCCGCTCGCAGCTGCCTCTTATCTCGGCTGGGCGAGCAGCAGCCCGTGTGGAAACGCAGCGGACCCGTGCGCAAAGCCCGGGGGAGGTGCGGGCAGAGGACGCCGCGAGCCGGACCGGCTGCAAAGTTTGCAAGCGCCTGTTGGCCTCGTGGGGGAGCAGGTACGGCAAGCCCCCCGCCCCCCCAACCAGGCCCGCCCTTCTTCTTTGCTGGAGGGGGCTTCCAGCAGAAGAGAGGGTCGCTAGCTTGTTTTCATGGAGGGGATGCGGGGTCTGTTCTAATGCGCCGCTGGGAAAAATATGCAGTGAAAATCGTGTGCAGTTGGGAATATGGACTTCAATAAGGAACTAAGTTGTTCCATTGTAAAAAAGAAATAGAGCATTGAGTACTTGAGTGTTACCTTTCAGTCACTGTTTCAAGCACTCATTTGCTTTATCTAGCTTGATGTTGTGCTGTGCTCTCAAGTCATCTTCAACCTTCGGCCATCCTGTGAATGAAAGCCCTCCAAAATGTCCTGCCCCATGCCAGCCCGGTTCAGCTCTTCCAAGTTCAAGGCAGCGGCTTCCTTTATGGAATCACTCTATCACATATTTGCTTGTCCCTTTTATCTTCTGCCTTTGACCTGCCCTGGCATGATGGTCTTCTCCAGGGAATTTTGCCTTCTCACGATGTGTCCAAAGCATGACAGCCTCAGTTTAGTCATGTTTGCTTCTAGGGAGAGCTCTGGCTTGATTGATCTGGGACTCCCTTGTTCTTCTTTCTGTCGGTCTAGGGTTTTTGCAAAACTCTGTAATGCTAATCATATATTTTTGGGACCAATTGCTTGGCTGGTCCAAAGCATTTTTTCATTCCTGTGGTACCTGGCAGGGCAGTGGCAAAGACAATGACACCATTGTGCCCTGCACCATGCCTCCTCGCTCTCTTCTTGTCTCCTTAAAATGCCCTCTTTAAAGATTTGGGACTGGGCAGGATGATTATTGGGACTGGGCGGTATTGATTATTATTATAATATTGCATTTATAACCCACTTTTTTTCTCTTGTGAGGAACCCAAGACAGCTTGCACAGTTCTGTTTTATCTTCATAACAACCACCTTGTGAGGTACTTTGGGCTGAGTGTCAGTGACTGGCCCAGTGACACCCCCTAAGCTTCATGGCTGAGTGAGAACTAGAACTTGGATCCCCCTGGTCCCCAGTGCAAGGAGAAGCAGCTGTTGGCTTTGGCAGTATTCTGAAGTTCTCTGCATCTGAGCCCCAATGTGTGGAAATATGTGTTTGTGAGGGATGCTGGTGCAGCGGGAGGTATTGGATTGGTACAGCAAACATAAGAGCCATCGGTAGGTGCAGATGAGATCTTAGCTGTGAAAATCACTGTATGTGGTGATAGTGCATTGCTGGACAGTACAAACCAACACTGCAGAGAGCTTGCTTTTGCACCAGCAGTTTTGCACAGATGGGTTAACATTCTAGTACAGGTGCAAAAGACACATATTTAAAGAACACGATGAATGCTGAGTCCAGGAATTTCTACTGTTATTTCCAGAACAGGGCTCACAATCCTCACATACCAAAGTCCATTCCTGCTTATGCCAAGCTCCCTTTGTTCCAGTGACCTAATTTGGGAAAAGTCATCTTGTTGCTACTACAATAAAACAATTGGCAATCAGAAATCCTTGCCAAATCTACCGCAGATCACCCAGACAACCACCAGTACATTCTGATCTGCTTTCTGCCCACCTCTGCAGTACACTTTGGGTCCAGATTATTTGGAAGTAGAGATTCCAGTCGTTTCCTCGCTGCAACACTTTATCTTCTTGATGGCCTTCAGGCCCAAGCTCAGCCCCTCTGCCGCCACAGCCACCCACTCCAAGGAACAGCTGTGTTGTGGTGGCACGCACTGTTGCCCTCCGTAATGCACGCCTTCCTGGGAAATGTCGTCTGTGTGAGCATGTGGAGCAAGTGAGTGGCTTTCCCATGCTGTGTTTGCAGTCAGGTGTAGGGAGAGAGGTACAGTTTTGAGTCATGCTGCATAAATGGGTGAGTGGCGACAGGGGACTCTAAGAAAGACAAGCCTTGCAGCAATTTCCGCCTGTCCTTGGGCTTCCTAGTCTCCCTTTTCTTGACCCGTCTTCCAACCTGGCCTTTTCCTAATTTATGTGGCTGGTTTTGCAAAGGCAGGAGAAAGCATGCTTGAGGACACACACATTCCTTCCTGATAACCATAGGAGAAGTCCCTGCCGTCCTGCAAAGTACAAAATGCTGATGCTGGATAAGCATCCAGTCACATTGTGATCAAGTGCCCTCTTTTATAGAGGACAGTCCTTTGCAGGATCCCATAGCCGCTTCTATCTATTGGAGCCCAACTAACTGTGTTGCGCAGTTCTTAGTTAGAAAAATCCTTCAATTTCCCTTTTTTCCCTGCTGTTGCTTCCCAGAGAGGCCGTGAGGCTTCCTTTATGTCAGAGGTGTCCGTCCGTTTCCATTATAAAGATAATGAGCCATCAGAACTGTTGCCACCCATACTTAGCAGATCGAATGGGCAGGCATTCGAAGCACAGTCTTCTATACTATTGTGAGATGTACCGTGTTTCTATTTTCATTGCACCCATTACTTCTAAGACAGTTGCTTACTCTCAGCCTAACCTACCTCACAGGGGTCTTGTGATGATAAAATGGAGTGGATGAGGGCTGTGTAAGCCGTCTTGGTCTCTTTGCAGGAAGAGGAAGGGCAGGATATAAATTATAAAGCAGAATTATACTGTAAACCACCCAGAGAGCCTTATAGGGTTGTGGGAGTGGCTTATAAATTTATAAATAAATATGTAAATAAATAATCCTCATAATGATAGCAATTGCAGATCAGGCACATCAGGGCGAGGGCAGGCACATGTTCTAGATTTGGTGGCCTTTTGTCCACTTTGGCAACAAAATATTCACATTTTTCCATTCTCATGGGCTTAATTGCTGCCGCATTCTCCCTCCTGCCAGCCCTGTGTTCTTGGCTTGAGGTGTTTTCAGTGAGGCAGGCGGTGACCAGCTACTTCTGCTGGTGAACATCTTTTCCGGCATGGGTGGGGAACTTGTGGTCTTCCAGATGTTCTTGGACTATATGTCGCATCATCCTTGACCATCGGTCATGCTTGGGCTGATGCGTTGGAATGCAGCTGTGTCTTCACACAGACACAGGGATGTGTCTTCATCCCTGTTCCACCAGTTGCTTTTTGCTTGTTGCTGTTCCAGGAGCAGCAGGGTTGCCCTCCTGCGGCAATATGCAGTGTTGGTGGCCAGGATCATGGGCCGCCCCCAGGTTTATTTCTGAATGGAGATGGGCCACAATGCATGGGCCTTGTTGCTCCTTTGATGCTGCTGGTCCCCTGCAGTTTAGAGTTGCCATTTGCCAACTAATCCCCCAAAACATACAATCATTCTTAAATGCCCTGGTTGTTGGTGTTGCTTCGTTTGCTTTGGAACTTGTTGCCAGCAAAGCCAGAACAGATCCTTACCCATCATATTTTAGTTTTAGCAGTATGCAGTGCCTGGGGCCTAAGCATCAATAATGAATTAAAAATAGAATCTAAGCCATAATTATTAATAATAATAACTTCAGCAGTCGAGGCCAAGAGCTGTTGATAATACACCTTTCCTTAATGCCTTTGGCTAATCTCCTGTCCACACTGGAACAGGAGCCATCTAAGAAAAGTGGACATGCCAGGATCTTGTGGCAGTGAGTTCCTCAGGTTGTTGCCCAACAATAACCACCACCACTACAAGAAGATACTTGGGCATTAACTTAAAACAAATGCATTTTATTGTGTAGCTATATACAACAAAAATGGGGAAAGTCAACATACATCATTAAAATTCAGCAACAGGCAATGAGGTGTAGGATATGCTTTCTTACATCCTTCTTCCTAGATCCAAAAGCTAACCAAAGCCTTTTTCTTCTCATCTTTTTGTTCACTGAGGTCTAATACTAAACTTCTCTCCTTCCCTACTGTCTATGCAGTGCAAAGAAATGCTTTAACAATATCCCCAAATCAGCATCCTTCAGTCTGTGGAAGGGTGTGCTGAAGACAAAAAATCAAGTGCCATGACAATTATATACAAAACCCCCCACAACATATAAAACATACGAAAGATTCCATTTTGCACCCGTGTATAAAAGTGTCTTTGTGCAAGTTTTTCTTTCCCAATTGCCAAGAACTCCCCATTCCAAACAGCTCTTCTGTGGCTGTTCTTTGCCCCACTCTTCCTCCCATTACTTATCAGGCATTCATTTTGGGTTTCCCCCCACCCCATCCCTCCTCCTCCTCCTTCTCCTCCTTCCCAAATCCTTTCCATCTCTGTATAGACAGAATTTCTTCTTCCACCTTGGAATTTGTTCCTTTTTTCCTGTTCTGTTATTGAGGATCTGAAACACAGCAAGATGAAAAAGGCACATAAGAGAAAGAAACCAATTTAGGATAAAAGGCAAGGTTAGATAGAGCAGACTGTCATCCTGTGTGTGACAGGATGAGAACTACACACAGAGAGATTTACTGGAAAAGACAAAACCGTTGACCAAAGAATGGCTTTTGTGCCATCATAAAGCATGTATCTTGGCTTGCCTCCTACATGAGAGTTGAACCCTCAGTATGAGTGAGATGGAATTTAGTCAAAGAATTGCTGCTTTTGAGGTGTACACACTCCTCCTACCTTCTCTCGGATTTACACGTCTGGCAAACTTTTGGCTTGATGCGAAAACTTGCAAAACCTGGAGACAACAGTGGGACAAACGGTGTGTGCGCATTCTGTGTGAATGGAAGTCTCTTTCCAAACCTTACTTAGCCCTCGCAAAATGTATTAGTTAACTTTGGTGTGTATGTGTGTGTATGTTTTGTTGAAAAGCAGTATATAAGTGTAAATATTCTTAATAACATATAATGTAAATGTTGAACTACAACATTTGATTTTTCTAATGGTGAACTCATAGCAAATGGCAAGTGTTTATTGGACAAGCCTGAATATCTCTTGGGCAGGGAGAAGCTAGCTTATGCAGAGGTATTTCCCATCCGTTGCAAGGGAGACCTCAGGAGGTTAGAGCAATGGCTCCTATACCCCAGTTTCCTGCCTCTGAGTGTAGCCAGCTGTCAGATACGTTAAAGGAGAAATGCTGAAGAATTAGTTGAGAACTCTAATCCCTGCTGATCTGTTCTGTACCATAGGTATGCTGCTGACATGGCCTTTGGAAATATTCCCACCTCTGTTAATAGCAGCCATCAGTGTGGGGAGTGGCAGAAGGGGTGGCCGTGCTGTGACAAAGTCTCCTTGCAAGATACATGCTAGAGCAAGGGAAAACTTGACGCACTCTTTCCACAGTGCTGTTTCTCTCACACATATTGTCATTGAATGTCCTTTTCAGTGGTTTGGCCCTCCAATGAGAGCAAGCCTCAGGAAAGTGTGGAAACAATTCAGCAACCTGGTGAAACACTTTGCCAAGGCAGCCCTTACTTTCCCCCTTTTCTCAGTGCTGGCTCCCTCTGGTACGTACCGTCTACGTTCCGGACTTGGGGATTCTCCTCTTCTGTTTCTTCTTCCTCATTCGGATCTTCATCATCATCTTGAAAAGGAAGAGTGGGAGAAGAAACAAGTCAGGAATTGCAGAGCCATGTTTTCTATGGAGAAGGCATCTGCTTAAGGACATTTCTGGCATCAAGACTTAGGAAGGGTTTCTACAAGGTCAGACTCTTGGTCCTGCTAGCCCAGGCCTATCTGCTCTGCTCTGCTCTGCTCTGCTTATGAATCTGCAGATTTTACAGTGGATGAGCTTTTTCCACATCCTTCTAGGCTTGTGCAAATGTACATTAACCAATGTGCACTTGTACAAGTGTGTATTTACAGATGAATGAAATTCCTGTACAAAAAATCCAGTCCTGTCAGTGAGGAGATGATAGAACAAATGATACCTCTGACAATTGGCAAAGCACAGGCAGAACTGATTTTAAAAAATCTATATATGCCTGGCCATGCAGTAGGTGCAGAGGCAAATTAGAGCACAGATCAATTTGCTTCCTCTAATCTTCTGTTATGAATGCTTTCCTTGCATTATCTTCAAGCTCAAGTTTTATTGAGCATTCCTCAGATATTGAACAGACTGCATCTAACAATATCTCCCTGTTGCATATCTGATGGAAGGTGAAGTGTGATTGTTGGCTAGCAATGGCATTTTGTATTATGTAAGAGTTGACATGTAACAGTATGTTGTATTGGTAATAGCTGGTACATAAAAGTATGTATCTGCATGGTTTTCGCACCTTATCATTACCTATTTCATCTCATCACACTTTTCCTTTGTCTGAGCAATTTGGTGTTCAGGATCGACTGAGGTCTGAACATGATCTCTCCATAGCACTGCTACCCATAGTTTTCCCCACTAGAAGGTTATATTTATAAGCCTGAAGTCAGGAAATGTGATATTATTTTTAGAACATAAGAAAAGAAGAAAAGCCATGCTGGATCAGACCCAAAGTCCATCTAGTCCAGCACTCCATGCACATGGTAGCGAACCAGCTGCCCACAGGATCCCTCCAGTAGGATGGGTGCAAGACCTCCTCCTTCCCAGGCTCCTCAGCAACTGGTGCATGCAGGCAAGCCATGTTTGGTAAAGGAGGAAGCTCATGGCTAGCAAGTCTTGTAGCTACTGGGAGCCTCCTCCTGCATGAATCTGTCGAATCCCCTCTTAAAGCCATCCAGATTGGCAGCCATCACCACTTCCTGTGACAGCGAATTCCATTGCTGAACTATATGCTGTGTGAAGGAATATTTCCTTTTATCTGTCCCAACCCTCCCACCAATCAGCCTCAGGGATGAGGTCAGTCTCATGGTTCAAGTTATGGGAGAGGAAGAAAACATCTCTCTCTCTCTCTACTTTTCCACACCATGCATTATTTCAAACACTTTTATCATGTCTCCCCTTAGCCGTCTGTTTTCTAAGCTGAACAGTCCCAGTTGCCTGGTCTCCTCACAGGGGACCTGCTCCAGCCCCCTGATCATTATTGTTGCCCTTCCCTGTACTTTTTCCAACTTAATGATGTCCTTTTTCAGGTAAGACCACCAGAACTGAACACAATATTCCAAGAACAGGCATACCAAGGATTTGCATAATGGAAGTAAGGTTTTGGCAGTTCTGTTTTTTTATTCCATTCCTAAGGATGCCTGGGATGGAGACTGCCTTCTTCAGAGTAGCTAAGCACTGGGCTGGCATTTTCACTGAGCTACCACACTACCCTAAGATCCCTTTTGTGTTCAGTCATTGCTAGTTCAAATCCCAGCAGTGTCTGCTTGAAACTGGTATTTTTTGCCCCAGCTTACATGACTTTACACTTGCTTCCATTGAATCACATTTGCCATTTTGATGCTCCTTCTCCCAGCTTGGAGAGACCCCACTGGAGCACCTCACAAACCCTTTTGGTTTTACCCACCTAAAAAGGTTAGTGTCATCAGCACACCTGGCACCTCACTACTTAACTCCTTTTGCAAAGATGTTAGTGGGTTCTAATTCACTTGGAAAGATGATCAAATTCAGACGATCATTTTTCACATGGAAAGACTGCTGAATTACCGTACCTGCCTCAAAGTCAATAGCTCTCAAGGCTTCTGTGGCATTTTCCAGGTCTATGGTAAAATAGTCCATATTTTCAAAGCCTTGCTCAATTTTCCCCAGTTGAGCCCCCTTTGATGCATCCACAATCCTAGGGAGAAAATAGAACAGAAAATGGTTTTGGCTTCTATGTCTTATGCTCAGCACTGCTTTTCAACAGCTTACATTGTGTTTTATCCATTGTAAACCAGACCTGGGGAGCCTGTGGCCCTGTTCCTAGACTACAACTCCCATAATCCCTATCCACTGGCTATGATAATGTTTGTATCTCATGAAATCTAGTGCCTTGCTTTGAATGGGAAACTGTGCCCTAAAATGCAGTATATAAAGCCATAATATATGGAAATAAGTCAATTTGTCTTGTGCTAAGAAAGAAGGCACTGAAAGTGCCTGAAAAACCATGCAGTAAAAGGGCTCCAATTTAGCTGAGCTGTCGCAGCGCTCCATCTGATGATTCATCTGCTGGCTTTCTGTCAGCGCGAGTATTGCAACTCAAGAAAGAGATCGATGGAATTATGCAGCCCATTCAAAGCCGGTCTGCTCTGAAACAGTCGTGTATTTAAGTTTCCAACCAGAGGGGCCCTTCTGTGTGGACCCAGGTTTGTCTGTGGGAACAACTATAATACTGTTTGCACAAAGAAGCTACAGCTTAGGAAAATATGCCCCAGGACTTACGTTTTAATGAGCTGCTTGGCAGTCTGGAACGAGAAGAGAAGAAAGACACACAGGAGAGAGAAAGAGAGATCATTAGTGCATAAAAACAGTTCAGTTTAAAAGTTGAAATTAGTCCATCAAAGCTGCTTGAATTTTGCTTGGATTGGTGGATCGCGCTGATTTCCCACCCTTCCTCCAAAGAGTACAAGGTTGCGTCCCTGACTGTCCTGTCCCACTGCATCCTCACAACAATTCTTTGCAGTAGGTTAGGTTGAGTGGCAGTAACTGCCCCAGTGTCCTGTAGTGAGCTTCCAGGCTGAAAGGAGTTGTGCTTGAGTTGCCAAGCCTCTGCGATTGGTGGTTGCCAGCACTGCCATGTGCGTGATAGGATTACAGCCTTAATTGATTAATGTAAAAACTCTAACCCCAGTGGAGACTGGAAGCTGCCCTATTAAGTGACTCTGTCACTGATCCCCACCAGCCACACGGAACAGGAAACAATAAAGGAGACAGAGGCTGCTAGAAGGATGCTATGGATTCATGGTGCAGGTGAGCTGTGTTCTGTGGTACTTATCATAGAATGGTAGAGTTGGAAGGGGCCAGGAAGGCTCTCGGGTCCAACCCTTGCTGTTGCAGGACACCAACTTACCCCATCCCACTCAGATGGGCATCCAGTTTCTTTTTGAATGTCTCTGGTGTGGGAGAGCCCACCAACTCTCTGGGTAGCTGGTTCCACTGTTGTATTGCTCAGACAGTGAGGAAGCTTTTTCTGATGTCCAGCCTGAATCTGGGTTGAATTGATTATTCCATGTCCTACCCTCTGGTATCAGCAAGAAGAGATCTTGACCTTCCTATTTGTGACATCCTTTTAGGTACTTACAGAGTGATACCATGTGCCCCGCCCACCCCCCCCAGCCCTCAGTCTTCTCTGCCCAAGGCTGAACATGACCTGTTCTCTCAGTCTTTCCAAACCCTGGATCATTTTTGTTGCTCTCCTCTGGACCCTTTCTTGCTAGTGTGTAAATATTATAGAAGGCTCTTGGGTGTGGACATGGCTATATGAAGCACCACGTGGGCCCACCATTCCAGTTGTGCTTCCATTATGGGAAAACAAGGCTTTGGCAGAGCTTACAACATAGGAGTCCTGCAGGGTGAGATCAAGTGTCTACCAGGTCTAGCCTTCTGTTCACACAATGGGTAGCAGGATCCCACAAGCGGGAGAGTCATACTACCATACCCTCTCACCCAGGTCTCCTAGCAACTACTTTATACAGATATACGGCCTCTGATTCTGGAGGCAGCTCAGAGCCACCAGCACTAGCAACCCATTTCTAGTGCTTCCTCTATGGATTTGTCCAATCTCCTTGCAAAGCTGCCCAAACTGGTGGCCATCTTGTGGAAGTGAATTCCATAGATTAACTGCATGATGAAGGACAGTGATGTGGAAGCAGCACACGTGTCCCTCTAAGGCCCCTTCCAAGTGCGTTGGACCACATGTCCCATCATTCTCTACTCCACCCTGCTTGCTGGGAGTGGTGGCCCTTCGAGGGATAAGAAATAAATTTGGCCAACACGGCAAGAATGGAGGCTCATGCTCAGCTGCCCAGTCATTGCAAAAGGAGGAAGCAAGGTACTCTGGCCCCAGTCTCCAGCTGGGAGAGTGGAACCAGTGGACCGCTTGCTTCTCCCTAGCAGCACATATCCATTTGGCTCACCATGAGAAAGGCAGCCCCTGCCTCCTCCTCCATGGACTGGATCGCTGTCTCCACCAGTTTGGTCGACTTCTCCAGCTGCTCCTTGTACTGCTGGATGAGGCCCTGCATGAACCCCACCTTCTCTTCTTGCTCCTTGGAAACCCGTTCTAGCAACTCGCTCCTCTTCTCCTCCAGGACAGAAAGGAGGGCTTCGAATCTATCACATAAGGCTTGCTTGACCAGTCGGCCGTTTTCCTGTCAGGAGAAGCAAGGACAGCGTCACGGATGCAGCCAGATGGAGATATCCCACCACCCACAGGCATCCATCTGCCACCCAGTCATTCATGGCTCAGTTTGGAGAAGGTTTTGGAGCAGGGTAATAGCAGCTTTGCATGCAGGTTTAGTCCCTGGCATCTCTGGGTTTGGTGTGGGAAAGATTCCCTCTGAGAACCTGTAGAGCTGCTGCAAGGCAGTGCGAGCCAGACTTCCCCAAGCTGGTGCTTTCAGATGTGGACTTCAACCTCCATCATGTCCAACCAGCATGGATAATAGGAGCTGCAGCCCAACCTATCTGGAAGGCATCATCCAGGGAAGGTTGGGACAGACCAATGGCCTGTTTGGTAGGGATTCCCTGGGTTTGCTGATTGATTTATGAAAAGATTCCCCTGCCTCCCATCCCCAAAAATGGGACCTCTGGGAATGCTAGGAAGCACAATCAAAGCAATGGGAGTAAAGCCTCCTGACGCCAAGCAAGCAAGGGGGGCAGCCTTGCCTCAAATGCTGTGCAGCAAAGGCATTATGGCAGCAAGTGCAACAACTTAAGAGGGCAGCTTGTTGGAAGTCCATTGCGTTTTGCCTTGCCAGGAAACACCAGAGGGAGAATTTTGATGGAATTTTGTGCAGTGCAGAGCCCAGGCGTTTCTGCCACGTCTCCCTCCTTCATTTTGTTGCCTTATTTCGGTGCACTTCTGATCTGAGCAATGACCAAAATGCTCCTCTCTCCCATTTACAATGTCCGTTGGCTAGTAAGGAGATGCTTTGCCCTCTCTCTCTTTAATATGCTTTTGAAGTTACTCATATGCACTATCTCATTATAATTCTTACCATAGCACTGTAAGGTGAGTCGGCATCATTATCCCCCTGCTGCGGATTGGAGTCAGGAGGAGGACTGAAGCCAGGAGAGAGCAGCTGCCTAGGCCTCCTGGTGACTCCATGGGGTGGCAAGATTTGAACAGGGGCCTTCCTGATCCATCGCTTGCTCCCTTAACCACTCAGCTGTACTGGCCTTCTACTTTCAGTGTCGGGACACTGAGTTCCCTGTACCCAGGGCACAGATTTCAATCAACCTGGGGCCCTCCAGACAGGTTGGATAACAGCTCCCATCATCCCCAGCCACTGGGTTGTGGTCCAGCACATCTGAAGTACCCAGGGTTGGAGAAAGCTGATCTAAATTAAGGACATGTCTCCTAGCCCTGCTATAGCAGTCTGGATCATGCCTCCCCGAAAACACCTGCACCAGCTCCTATTGGCCAGGGCTGGCTTCCCTTCCGCTGCTTGGATTTCGGAGGGCTCAGCTGTTTGTCACATTCCTCACCTCGGTGGTTCTGCAGGACTCCTCCAACTGGTTGATGATAGTCTGGATTCTGTCATTCCCTGCCACCAGCATCGAAATGCAGTTGGTCAGCTCAGTCTGCAAAGGAAGGCGATAAAAATAGATCTGCATCCACAGGCCCCCTTCTCCCTCTGAGTCAGAGGGCAAATGGTGGCCCTGACTGGGGAACAGTGAGGGCAGAGGAGAACGACTGTGGAAATAGGAGGCCCAACTGGGAACCAAGGGGAAGGCTGCCGTCCAGAGCAGGCATGCAATAGGAAGGTGGCCTGCATTGCTTGCTTTCCTCTTCTGTGCCCCTCCCTTCTTTCGTATTACATCTGGCAGCCCTGGGGGGCATTTGAAATCCGAGGCAGATATCCTAGGCAACAGAGGAGGTTGCTAGGAAGAGGAGCACACTGGCTGCAGGTGCGGAGATGGATTGTGTCTATCCCTGAAAATTCAATGCAACGTGGACCTGAGACCTCCAAAGTCCTGCTTGCGTGATCCTCTTGCTCTCTGCTCATCACGTGCGGAAGTTGGCACTGGCTTGGTTCAGGCTGGCTCAAAACCAGATGTACCGGGAAGTTCTTAAGTGCACTCATGCTGATGAGATGCTGCGCATGGTTGCGCATGGGCTGGTTGTGTGATCTGACCTTGGCATGATGCTTCTGTCCCAGTGATCATGGCATAGAGCACAAAGCACATTCTTCACACCAATGCTAAATCCACTTTTCTGGTAGCTTTGGGGTGGGGGAATTGTGAGGTGAATTGCGGCAGAGCAATTGTGCAACTTGTGTCTTCCACGCACAAATGGACCCAGCCAACCCACTTTGTTAACAAGCCAGCTGGGTCCTGGTCCTCATTCAGTTTATCACTTGGGGGTAAGGGGGGGTGGGGGGCTAGTAGGGCACCTACTTCTTCCCCATTTCCTTTGCATTTAGTGTGGCCACTTAGGAATCCTTGAAAAAGAGGAAATACTCAAGGAGAGGAAGAAAGGGGAGAACAATAGAGGACCCCTATTTGCATAATATTTGCATGTCCTAATTGTTATGTTTGGGTGGAACTTTAGAAGTAATTATAACTAAAATAGAAATAGAATGCACCTCATCCTGGGGCAAAGTAGGATGCCCGGGTGCTAACTGTGGACAGGCAACAATTCTTAGCATTCTTTATCTTTAAACTGGAATTGGATCAAGCACCTCTTCAAATAAAGGACATTGGATAGTCCTCTTCCAAAGAGGACACATCACCACCCAAATGGCAAGGACTCCCCCTCTCCTGGATTTGTTTCTTCAGATATTTATGGAGGAGTAACAGTGATACAAGACTCACCAAGCACATAGAAGAACGCACTTGAGATTCACTGGGAAAGACCCCCACACCCATTCACAACTGCTCTCTTGGGAACGAAAGCCCTTCCTAGGGCTCCAAGCTTTGCAGCTCTAAATATAACCCACTAGAGACTGCTTGGGAACGGCAGTCATCGGCGTGTTCGTACCAGCCAAGCTGCGGGGAGAGGCTATTCCTGAAAGGCACAGCATAGCACATCCAGACATCTCCAATCACCTCATGGCCCAAATGAGTGGGGGCCCCTCCTGCCCAGAGCCCCCCATTGGTATGTGGAGGAACAAGGTTGCATGAACCCTTCTGAGGTCAAGGAAGGGCTCTTCTGTTTCCCGTTGAGCCCTCTTTCACTCAAAGGTGTTGGTTAATGGTGCTCCTGGAAACTTAGATGATCAAAACTGGTGGACAAGCTACTCTGAAACTGCTCTTCAGGCATCACCGTGGATTGGAATTTATTTTCACATGTACTTTTGGAAAAAAAGGTACATGTGAAAAAATGTACCAGAAAAAAAAGCCTCCTTGGGAGGGTGGGCATCCCCTTCATGGCGACAATCCATCCAGGGTTTGCTCTCATGCTGAAATCATCACAGTGTAGCAAGCTAGGCCGTCTTGCAACTGGCGTGAGTTCTCTCCCTGCCACCTGTTCCAAGGGCAGGATGAGTGGAGTTCACATGACCTTGCTTGAAGGTGCTGCATAAGAAAATCTGTCTGGCCACCGGGGCCATGTTCCCATCCTCACAATGGGATGCTTACTTGGCCGGAATCGTGTGTGAGGGAGGAAGGAAGCAGCCCTGCTATGTATTATAAAGACTGCCCTGAAGGAACAGCAGAGGGCTTGTAATGCCTGCAAGCTTGACAGAGCAGGTGTCCTACTTTACAGAGGACCAGGTACCCTACTTTAGAGAGGACAGTCCTCTATTTGAAGCTGTCTTTTATTTGAAGGACTATCTAGCTAGAGGCTGGTTTCAAGGTGAAGAACCCTAAGAAGGGAGAGCGGAGGGCCCTTTCTGTATTGACACTTCACACTGGGCAGCAGCTGGAGTAGGCACGGGTGGCCACAAGCGTCCCCATTCTGTTGAGATGGACTGCATTTCTATTTGAATTATACTCATTATTTCTAAGTGTGCATTGCTAACTATAGATCAGCACATGCAAGTATTATTATGTTACACTTACATCACACATTTTTTCCCCTCTTGTAAGGAACCCAGGAAATTTCTTCCATCTTTCCTACTCCCATTTTTCCTCCCAAGAACAACCCTGTGAGGTGGGTTAGGCTGCAGGTGAGTGACTGGCCCAAAGCCTCTCAGAGAGCTTCAGGGCCGACTGGGGAATAGCACCCGGATCTCCTGGGTCCCACATCCAACATGTTAACCACCATGCCACACAGACTCTCCAGCGTTTCCTAATGTGCTGAAATCAGTGTGTCCCCCCCCCCCCCGGTCTTGTTTTTGGGTGATACATTTAGGTTATAAAAACCCTTGCAAAATGGAAGTCTCTCTCTCTTCTCTCTCTCTCTCTCTCTCTGTGTGTGTGTGTGTGTGTGTGTGTGTGAGAGAGAGAGAGAGAGAGAGAGAGAGAGAGAGAGAGAGAGAGAGAGAGAGAGAGAGACTTTTTCAACACCTCTGAAAGCACACTGCCTGCCCTGAAATTGTTTGCAGCTAAAATGTCTGAACCATGATGTAGCCCTTTTTACCCTCTGCTGTGCAGGTTTATAGACAGGAGTTAGGTAAGTTTGGGACTTTTTCATACTTGGCAACATGGAAGAGCAATGGACCTGGCCAGTCCCACAGCATGAGCAGGCTGTGCCCCCAGGATAGAGCATGGTCCAGAAAGCTTCCCCAACCTGGCACCCTCTGGATGTGAGGGACCACAGACGTGGATTTTGGGAGCGGTAGTGCACCCAGGTAGGAAAAGCTGCCCTACAATGTGCAGAGTTTCCATGGGAGATGCTTAGCTCCTCTGCAGGCCAGCCCACCTGGGCAAGAGTCCATGGGGCAAGGTGGGACAGAAAGTTGCCAAACCACAACTTGCTTGCTCTTACCTTTTGTCCCTGAAAGACACTTTGAAGGGGGGCCACTTCACAGTCTTTGTGAGCTCCAAAAACTTTGCACATGGAGCAGGTGGGCACCTCACAGGTTAAGCAGTAGATGTTGATCTTCTCGTCTGTGTGTTCCTTGCACATTGGGTGGTTTCCCTTCTTCAGGGGCCGGCTGGAGAGAACAGAAAAGAAGGAAATCAGGCTGTTGAGGGAGACAGCAGAGTGAAGTGGTTAAAACTCCATCCCCCAAGCTAGGGAACTCCACATGCATTCAACTGCAGGTCCCATGAATCCCAGCCTGCATGTTCAATGGGTCTTGCAGTTCACCACATCTGGAGAGCACAGTTGGGTTCAGTTGCCCTCGTCTTCTTTTGTTACATCTGCATGTGGAGTGGATGTGTGGGGTTGTTAAACCGGATACATTCAAATGACTGCAGCCCACTTCCTTCTTGCAGGCCACCCCCATCAGTTTCTGATTTCCATGGGACTCAAACTCAGCCCGGCTCCATCAGATTCAGCCCAGGTGTGGGCATGAAGGTAATGGGCATCTCTTTCGTACAGTAGGGATTGGACTGTCTCCCACCTCATTGCTAATATTAACCTCCCTGCTAAGGTTATGTTTAGACCTTGCTTCTGTGTGTGCCAAAGGAGAAGCCAGTCAGGTCTATGCAAGCCTGCTGAATTTATTTTGGGAAGCCAGTGCTATTTTTTTTCCTTCTGGAGAGGACTTATGATGATACCCCCAAAGTATCAGCAGAATCAACTGCCTCCTATATTCAGACACTTCTCTAATCCATCCAAATTTCATGTCCCCGAAAGGAAATGCATTTGTTAGTGTATATATGTTGGTTTTCACCACAGCAACTTTTCCAAACATTTTGCCTTCCAAAGATGTGGGACTACTATTTCTATCATCCCCACTGACAATGTGAGGTGATGGCTGTATGTGATGGGAACTGTGGTCAAACAACAACTGAGGACCCTTGTTTAGGGAAGGATGGTCTAGTATTTCCAGTGTTCGCCAGCCAAATATCTATATAAAAGGAGAGAATCTGTCAATTTGTATTTCTCTCAATGTGATTTTTTTTTTTGCACTCTTAAGTCTGGTTTGTTATGAACTAATTAAGTTCAGCTTATCCTTAACCCTGAGAATTTTAACAAATAGTTTGCATGAAAATTTGTACAAATGTTGGCATTTTCCATAACACATGCATTTCTGTATGCAGTTTTGTCTAGTACAAGTTTGCAAACACTTTCCCTAATATAATGCATTTTAATGTTATCGTCATTAATCTACACTTTTCTTCATGTATTTGCATAAACACATGCCTATATCCCCCTTTTAATGGACAATTCCATCACAAAACTCAGAGAAGTGTGAACTTCAAAGGACAACTAACTTTCAGTTTGACTATTGGTTCAAAAGTGCAAGAGTACGTAATTTTGCAATAAAATCTTTAATGTAAACAATTTACCACCCATCCCTAAAACCCCCTGTGAAGCTCACTAAGAGCTTTTGAAATAAGCACCAGAGCTTTCTTGTTTGTTCCCAGTACCTGGTGCTTAGACATTTACTGCAAATACCAAGTTGTCAGATGATTTTTTTTATCATTGGCACCTCTGTGAATTAATTTCTATTTGCATTGTTTCTGCTTTTGATGCCTCCCTTTTGTTTATTTTCCTCAACCTGGCAAACAGACCTTTTTAGATCTGTAATTTTTTTACAATAGCCAACCTCAGCTGGAACAGAGGAGAAGAAACCAGTTGGATTAATTACTTGGAGACTGCTTCCTCCTGGCATCAGAAGAAAAACTGTAAAGACCATTCTATTGTTAAGGGCAAGAAGGCTTCCCCCAAAGAAGAGAGGAAAGCAGCAGTTCACACAAACCTGGAATATTCTTGTTTGTAGATATCGATGATATTCTCCACCAGCAGATTCCTCTGGAGGCCATAGACTCCATGCCGGTCCAGGATGACTTCATGGCGGCAGGAAGGACAGCGAAACCGGCCCCCTGATATGGTGGTTCCCCGGGTCGTTTGCCAGTATGGGTTCGCAGCCTGCAGATGCCAACAACAACAAAGTTAATAATTATGACAAGGTACCAAAAAAAATCCATACCCCCTCAACTGCCAGTCATGACTCACTCAACCCTCTCACAGACTGAATGGTGATCTGAGAGACAAGCTATTTAAAATATTGCTAGGATCATCCATCAAGCTGTGCCCCTTATGAATGAGTCATAGTTGTTCTTTTGGATAAAGTGGGAATGCCCCAGCATGCTTTGCACTTGTGTCACTAGAAAAATGGCCAACATCAATGAGCCAAATAACAAGCCTTCCCTTTTGTGGCTGGATACTGGTGGTGAAAAGTATGCTAATTTTCTGCATATTATCTAGTCTGAATTTTATTTGGATAGTTCATGCATATTTTTAGAGAGCCTCTGAGCCCTGGATGGTACCTTAGAGAGACGCTAAAGTAAGGATATAGGTACAGGTACAAGTACATTTGCAGTGTACAGACTATTAATCTCTAATTTACGCACATAAGAACACAAGAATAGCCTTACTTGATGAGCCCAGACTCAGCTTGACTCTGGTGAAGCCTCTACTTCCAGCTGTGGCCAAATAAATACCATTTAAACGTGCAAACAACATACAGGCAGGATCTGATTAGTTTCCTAGGAGTGAAGGAAGCCTGTCTCTGAATATGGCAGTGGCATTTTAATTCTGGAGGGTTATGAGGGTGTTGACTTAAGCATAACCAAAAAAGGGAGATGAATTGCCAAAGGAATTTTGTGTAAAATTTGCATATGCAAATTTATATTTGTGTGTGCAAATTTGGAAAACATTACTGAACAGTAAACAGAAATCCCTCTCATCTCAGCATAGTGGGGAATTTGGTGGCCTGTCGACCCGTCAGCCAGCTAGGTTCCTTCCTGAGGGCCTGTACCACTGTGCTACAGGCATTAACCAGAACAAGGAATTCATCTTCCAGATGTTTTGGATTATAGCTCCTAGCATGGCTGGCTAGGGGATTATTAGGGGATGGTGAGACTTACAGTCTAACACCTCATCAGGGCGTCATGTTGGGAAAGGTGGCTTCAGAACTCTCCATCTCTAGTAACTTACAAACCAATTTGGAAGACTTCAAAAGGGGATTGGACAAAGTCATGGAGGAGAAGACTAGTCATGGCTACTGGTCCTGGTGGCACCATGCTGTCTCCAGTATTGGAGGCAGTGTGCCTACATACACCAGTTGCTGTTACACTCACATCCTTCTTGTGGGTTTTGCCCCAGAGAGCTGTGGGCAACTTTTTGGCCATTCTGTGAACAGAACACTGGACTAGATGGACCTTGGCCTGGAATGACCATTTGGTCCCAGGTCTGCGGCCTGGTCTGACCATAGCGTTTGGTCTAATGTGTTCGAGTTCAGTGTCAAAAGCCCAGACCAGATGCTTGCTGGATTCCAAGATGCGCACTTTGTGAAGACCACATATTCTTGTTCATGAATCCCATTAACTGCATACCATCCACATCAGCCTCTTGGAACACCTTGGTACCAGAAGGAACTCTTCAGACTTATTCCTACCAGATGGTTTTCCTGAATATCAAATTTGTTTGTCTTCAAAAGTGCAATACACATCAAGTGTGTGTACACAGAAGTGAGAGCCACCCAGAGAGTCATTCTGAGTAATGGGCAAATTAAAAGTCTAATAAAAAAAACAAATGTTAAATAAATAATATCCTTCTAGAGGAGGCCATTTTATGAGAAGTAGGATTGTCATGTGTGTTACTTTACAGAGGAAAGTCGTCTATTTATTCCAAGACATTTTTGGTTTGAAGCGTTGCCTGGTTTAAGCCCAGTTTGAAGTGGAAGAACCAGAAGAAGCAAAAGCATTTGGGTCCTTGAAGTTGTTCATGGACACATGAAGGTGGCACATGGACAAGCAGCCAGCAAAGAGGTCGCTGGGTCTGAGTCTTCTCTCCCATGGTAAGATTGTTACTGCATTTATTATTTAATGCAATTAAAATGATGTGTACATGTGTTTTCTGTTCTAAACCTCCCAGAGAGCTTTGGTTGTTGACCAGAGTAGAAGTTGAATAAATCAAAACTAAAAATCTATACCTTTCAATTAGAGGTATATAGACTTTTAGAGTGGGGTGAGTGTTCTTGCTTTGGGGATGCATTTCCTCTTTTTGTCAATGCATCCGTTTCAGATAAGGGGTCTCTCTGACCCTGACTCCCTCCCTGTGCACCCACCATACTATCTGCCAAACTATGAGAGCTTTGGAAAATTTGGCTCTCTCTTCCAACAAACAACATCCAGTTTCTCATCTCTGTCCCTAGACTTTCCTTCCTGTATCTCTCTATTTTGTTGCCTTGGAGGTCCAGCAACAGCAGTCAACACAGCTCGGGAAGACTGCGTCACAGGCAGGAGAGGCCCTGAGGGACCCATGCCTAGCTGGTCACTAGCCAGAGTGCCTCTTGCAGGAGGGAAATGGAGCATTTGCAAAGTGATTCAGGTGTTGCCCAGGAATCAAAATCTCCCCTCTCTGTGCCTCCCTCCCTCCCTCCCTCTCTGTGCATTCAAGGGAGTGAGACCTTTGCAAGTTTCATAATTATTTAAAAAAATCAATGCACTATTTTACAGTTATGACCATCTTGTGAGCTTTTGACTCCCTACTAACTATAGTTCGCTACATTGGAGCCCTTCTTGTTTTCTGTAAATTTCCACAGCTCTGCTAATCAGTTTCTCAAACAGTGCATTCATTTCCCAGCATTTCTTTTGGGTGTTGTGTGTCTCTTACTTTATAGAGGACAGTCCTCTACTGGAAGGCATCCTCTGTTTGATGGGCTGCCTTCCCAGGTCTGGTTTAAAGATAAATTAAACTAAAAAACAAGAGCAGCAAAAGCTTTGACATTGTCCATCAACAGTTAGCACACAACCACAGACCAAGAGGCACATACACAGGCCATCTGGTCACAGTCTTTTCTGTAAGGATGAGATACTGCATTTCTGTGCAAATTATAATATATCCAAATCTCAGCTGTATACGTTTTATGTAAAGTTGTGCCCCCTTTCTCCCCAGCTGTGGCAATCCAACATATTCTGTTAACCTTTCAGTTCACATAATCCTTAGCCCATTCAGGAGATCCGGCAGAAGCAATTTGTTTCAGTGCAAAACAAATAACTTTGGAGATGAAAAAGGACACTGAACTGTAGTTGTAGTTGAAAGAAGCCAGCAATGAATCCCAAAAGACCAACACAGTCATTGTGGCATAACCTTCATGGGCCACATTCCACTTTTTCTAGTCCACAAAAGCTAAACCATAATATACAAGAGAATGGGAGGTGGGTTAGAAAATAGAAGATAATCCCCTGCTAGAGCCCAGCACTGGCTATGTAAGATATACAGATATAAAATACAAATTTCTACCCATAGGTGCCAGGCTGAATATTGAAATCAAGAAATGAGAACCTTTGTCCCTCCAAATGTTTTTGGCCTTCAGCTTCCATTGATTCCTGCCAGTATGACGAATGCTCAGGGATTATCAGAAGTGTAGTCAAACATCTGGAAGGTCGCAGGTTCTCCACCTCACAGATGTCTCGCTAGGAGTGTCCGCATACTTGCAAGAGCGTTAGTCAAATGCTGGATGCATCCTATCATGGGACTTGTTTCTGACCAAGCATGCATTCACCTGTTCCACTGTCATCTCTCTGGAGAGTTTTATTCTTTCAGTGACAAAGCATTGCAAAACTATACCGCCACCCACCTTGGATAATGCCAGGATGTTGGGTACTGACCTGAAAGATGTCACTGGCACATTTCCTACAGAGGTTGTGCTGGCAGGGTAAGATCACCACAGGCTTGGTGAACATCTCCAGGCATATGGGGCAGATCAACTGTTTCTCCAGGTTCTCCATGGGGTTAGAGTCCCGGATTATGTTCGGCTGGTAATCCATTGTTCTCTTTGGCACTTCCCAATTAAATCCTTAGTGGAGGCTCCTCAGGAAGTCTTCTGCTGGGCAGGCTGCTTGGGTTCTTCAAAGCACACAAACTGTGCTCTGCAGGTCAGCTCTGAAAGCCAAGTCTTTGGGTTTCTGCACTTTGTCTGCCTCTTGTCTATTTATAATTTATCTCAGAGTCACATGTGCTTCGGCTGGCAGAATCGGTTGGGAAGAGGGTCATGTTTCCTCAAGGCTGACCCACTGTCACATGGAGTGGGGTGGGGGTGAGCAATCGTCTCTCCGGGAGAGGTCTGTAAACAAGGCTGAGGGGACAACGTGTTCGAAGGTTGGGAAGCCAACTTCCAGGGATGGATATTATTTTTCTTCCTCACTCCCACCCTTCCCCCACCAGTGTCTTTTGGGACAAAGAAACTGGAGCTGTGCTTGTGTAAACAAGTCACACTTTTGGGGGAGTCAGACAAGCCACATGATCTTTCCCACTCCTCTTACTTCCATCACACCAAGGGTTAAGCTTGAACCACTCAACAAAATTGTTTGCTATTTCCAGCACAGCTCCTGTCCTCTTCTAAAGGGTGACACTTAACCTCTCACAGCCACTTTGCTGGGCATCTCAAGCCAGACTCACTTTGTTCCCTGATCTGTGTGTGGCTACAGTCTGCGATCCACCAACCCTAATACAGTCCACCAGCTGGGCATTAGTCCCCCTCCTTTTTATTTTTTTAAACAGAAAAAAACATAAATACAACATATCACAGCAGTAATAATTCAACAAAATCACAATAATTAAAGAGTAAATAATAATTGCCCCCCACCACCCCGGAGACCAATACTACCACCATTTAATTCACATATAACAATTAATAATATATAAAATACTTCAATTATATCCATATCCCCTCCAGAAATTCATATAATCTTGCTTAGGTTTACAGCCTTTGTCTTCTATCAGTACTGCTTTTACACACCAGTCGGGCATTGTGACCTGCTGGGTACTCAGTGGCCTGCGTCCTCTGTTTTTGCAGTTCCAAGCTGGCAATAAAAACAGACCACTGAAAAGATTTACCTTTTGATTTTGAGAGGTCACTTGTGCACCGCCCCCAAAAGAGAGCAAAAGAAGACACACCTTTGGATAAATGGGCATATGCTAATTTGTATTAGGTGGTGAAAAAAAAAAGAAAACATTTATTACCCTTCCAATAGAGACACAGTCCGTCTCCCCATAGTGTAACCAGGTGACATGTTTTCAGCCTGTTGTCCAGGTGCTACCTGTGGATAGGCAACAGCTCTTACAGTACTTGATCTTTAAAATGAACTTGGGCAGAGGTTTCTAAAGGGCTACAACAGTACTCTCAGAACACAGGCAGCTGCCCTCTGCAGTCCTTGTCTTGAGCTAAAGGGAGACTGTCCCTATCTTGCAAAACGTTAAGTTCAAGGGCATTTGTATAAGGAAATTTCCCAGGGACTTGTGTCCTGTGTCCTTTGGATGATCCTGCTGAGGAACCAAGATGGGTTGGACCAAGGCTCAAAGTGTGTTCAGTCTGTGCAAGAAGTGCCAAGATCACAGCAGAGAGCCTTGGAAAAGGCAGGTGTGCCCATGACTCCAAGAGCAACTGGTTGTGCCTATTTGCTGCAGTCCATCAATGAGCCACAGCAGGCAGATCGCACCCTGAGCAACTCAGGAAGTGGTCAGCAGCCTGGAGCATCCCCAGAGATGTCAAAGAGGAGCACATGATTTCCCTGAAAAATAAGTGAAAGACGTTACAGCGAGTCCTTCCAGTTTCCAGAAAACGTTTTAGAGTGAAAACATCCCTGTTTACAGCTCCATGCAAACAAGCCAAGATACACTGCAGATCCTGGGTGGGAGGAGCCTACTTCTCTGATAGGACAGGAACAGAATACACAGGGAGGAGACTCGCCCCATGCTCAGTGTGGCTGGTAGGGAGGCATTGGGGGGAATTACCTTGACTGTCTAATGCCAGTGGGAGCCTGGGAGTGCAGCACAGGCTGGCAGATGAGGGCTGAAAACCCAACTCACCATGTAGAGTACTCCCTTGTGCGTTTGCATTCAGATGCCTCCTGCTGAGTTCAGTAAGATTTACTCCTAGGTAACTATGCACAGAATTTCAGCCTTGAAGCACCTTCCCATATGTTACTTGGAAGCCGTGGAGTGCCAGTCACGGTGAATGGGGTATCCAGTCTGGGGTTCCTGTCAGAACCCTAAAGGGACCATCCATAGTGCTGAAATTACTTTGTCATGTCCTTGGTTCAGTGCCATGGATAGTATTTTAAAAGCTCAGGCTGATGCCTAGTGGGGATACACCACCTCTGTGGCTCAGAAGTCATTCCCATGGGTCCAGTGGGGATTATTCCTGGCTAAATATACACAGACTCTCAGCCTTATGACACATTTCCCCTCTGGGGATGTGGGAGGCTATGTGTCCTCTTTTGCAGAGAGCAGTCTTCTGTTGAAGGTCTGCCAGTTCCACGTTTGGTTTCAAGACAAAGAACCATCAGAAGAAAAAGCTGAGCCTTGAAGTTGTCCATCAACAGTACCTAGACAGCAGACTGAACAGTTAGACACACGGAGTCCACAGTGAGATGTACTCTATTTTTCTGTCATCACCATCACCCTCATCACCACATTTATTCACCTTTCTTTTTCTTCCAAGGAAACCAAGGTGGCTTAGCATATTCTGATATCAGAGTGTAGGACATGGAATAATCAATTCATGCTGCAACAACCCAGATTCAGGCTAGATGTCAGGAAAAGCTTCCACTGGAACCAGCTGCCCAGAGAGCTGGTGGGCTCTCCCACACTAGAGATATTCAAAAAGAAACTGGATAGCCATCTGAGCGGGATAATGTAAACTGGTGTCCTGCAACAGCAGGGGGTTGGACCTGATGGCCTTCTTGGCCCCTTCCAACTCTACTATTCTATGATTCTGCTCCCCATTTTATTCTCACAACAACCCTATAAGGTAGGTTAGGCTGTAAGTCCACAGCCAGCCCAAGCTCCCCCAATGAGCTTCATGGCTGAGTGCAGATTAGAACCTGGATCTCCCAAGTCCCAGAGCAATGCTTCAACCACTGTGCCACACTGGCTCTAAATTATATGAATTATTTCTAAATTTGACACTCTTTATATAAATTAACACAGGGAAATTTTGTGCAAATTGGTGTCATGTTTGGCCTCCTTTGGGGTGGGGGAGGTTCACAAGCAGCTACCCTTCTCTCTCTCTCTCTCACTTTCTGCACACACTCATTTGCAGTTCCCATTCTTTTCAATGGCGCTTACTCCTAGGTAAATGGATTGGGGGCTTTACAGTGTAATCCAATATCTGTTTACTTGAAAGTAATTTCCATTGTGTTACATTAGGCTTTAGCTCAGGTGAGTGAGCTTTCAATGGATTTCAGTCTTGATGTGCTGGCACCCTATCCAACATACCACATGTCACAGGGGAAAATATGATACTCTTGTGTACTTGTAACACCGCTGACTTCAACAGGGTCTCTCTCAGCCTGTGCTTGCAGCTTCCCATTGCTCCAAATCAGGAAAGCTCTTCTCCGCTCACACTTAGTTTTCTCTGTCCTAGACCAGCTTCCAAACCTGGGTGCCTTGCTAAACTGATGCACAGTTTTGTGATGACTTTTGGTTTTAAGGAAATCAAGATGGATTAAGAAAGAAAGCATTAGTGGCAAATCATTCCATGCAGATGTGTGTTACAAATGGGACTTTTTAAGTTTCCTTTGGAAAATAAAGGGCTGCTGCAGCATCACCCAACCCAGATCGCTCCAAACACAGATAGCAATTCCCAGGCTAGCTGGGGCTGATGGCAGTTGTTGCCTACCCCATCTCAAGGACACCAGGTTTCAGAAGACTGCAGGGACAGCAACAAGTAACTGAACATGCACAGATAGCAGGGAGTTTAGTAGACCACAAAGGTGCAGAAGTGTAAATGAACTTATTGCAAATCTTGGAATGCTTTCTGAAAATGCTAAACTGTGTTGGATCAAAGTCAGGACTCCTTGTGCATTCAAACGTTACTAACCAATTGGATCAGGGTTTTCAACAAGCTAACATTGTGACTCAGCGGCATCACTTCTTAGGACCAGGAAACATCCCACAGGGAAAGTGCTAAGCGCACTATTCCACCCCATCCATCTGAAGCATTGCCACAGCATGGGCACACTGACATCACAACAAGAGCTGTCGAAAGGCACTTCATGTGCCTCCTGCATCATGTCCAGTTAGGCCTCACGTGTCAGGGATGTTGGTTTGCTCAGTGTCTGCCTGTTGCTCAAGCCCTTGTTGTAGAATGAGCTAGAGACACCCTGGGTGAGAAGTCCTGAATCTCAGCTGACAATCAGTTGATGCCCGTTGACCGAAGGGATGGGAATATATCCAGCCAAAACAACAGCTGGGTGAATAGTGAATCCTCCCCTGTTGATACTGTACTTTGGACCGCTGTCTGGTGATACCAATGACCCCTTGAAGCCAAGACATCATGGAGGCTGTCCAAGCAAAGATGCATCCTTTTCATTTCATCAACAAGTATTTCCGTGCCTGGGATGGCATCCACTGATAAGTCACCATATCAGAGGACTTATCAAAGATGCACTGGACCGGTGTTCTGGACGATGAAGAGAAATTACAGTCAAGGGCATGAGGATCTTGGGAGCAAACTGGGCCGGCTCTGGGCTGCCCAAAGAAGTAGTTCATCCTGGTGACCTAAAGGGGGCTATCATGATTGTGACTGGCACCTGTCCACTGAGTATCTCTTCAATCACCCACCAAGCTAGTGCATCAACTGCTTCCAACCCAAGGGCTGAATTCCAGTTCAGAAAAGCTCTCGGAGGAAGATCACCTCTGCACTGGTACTGCATGGCTCCTCCAACTGCAGATGCAGAATACCAGGTGATGGGGGAAGTGTAAAGATTTTAATTCTGTATTTTGATACTTTAAAAATGTTATTTGACTAAGGATCTTGTTAGACGGAAGGCCTTTCCAGATGCGCTTGTCATTCCTTTAGACAATGTCCAATTTTGTTTCTGTACAAAAGCATCTAAGAGTTTGTGTAGTGGAAAAGCAAGAAAGGAGATCCTCTACCTGTAGTGCTTGGTCTCAGT